AAAAGCACCCATTGCGTTCCTCGACGTCGTCGCCACGTTTTTCAATTACGGCGCGACGCTCTATCTACTGCGTGTTCCGGCTTGGTCAATTAGCGAGATTGATTCTCCGCTACGAGTCGAACACGTACGTGATTATCTTCCCGACAATTTTCTCGAGGACAATTTACGTTATGTAACACTTTAGAATAATATTCAGGAAAAGAAAACATTAGCAAGTGTATATTAAGATCTGTCTATTCATTTAAAATTAATTTGTTAAAATATCTCTTGATGCCTCGATGTTTCGATCGAACTTTGTTCCTATCACCTCGAGATTTTGGAAACGAAGTGCTAATTTTGCAAAAATTGTTTTTCTCCATCATTACATTAGTCGACTGTAAATCTTGTCGGGAACACGATTGCTCTCTGACACATGCGTGAGAACGCTCCACGTCGCATCGCGTCGCGAAATCTAACGCGACGACTATATTACAGATAGAGAGAGAGAGAGAGAGAGAGAGAGGGAGAAGATCGCATGAGAAATCGAAGAGAACTCTTGGTAGCCTCGTTCGATCGTCGTCTTTTGTACGCGTCCTCACGTACGGCTCGTTCGATCTTTTCCGCGAAGACACGTCGTCTGACATAGAGAGAGGAGACTCGAGACGCACTCTATTCCGGCGTACGTAAATACCTATCTACCTGCTTGTCTACCAGTCCGCGAGCCGCACCAACGAACGCACACACGAGCATGTATACGTAAGTCATAGGCCCGATAGACTGACGGACGAGGTAGACAGGCAGGCAAGCGGCCAGATAGCCACGCAGCGGGATTCTACATGCTTCATGTGTCTGCTCGTTTCGTTCGATCTCTTTAAACTCGGTTCGAATCGCCGCGTAATGCACTAATATGCCGGACAAGCGGATCGCATGAATTTCGGATCGATTCGACCGTCAACGAGGGTTTGCTCATCGAGAGGTGAGACGACATGAGTAAAATTCCTATGAGGACTACTACGAATCGTTTATATTGTTACAATGTTCAAATATCAGTTTTAAGATTTTAAAGTTTCATAATTTTGAATCAATCACTGAAGGTTTTACATTCGTAAAAACTTTTGATTATGTCTGTTGGTACTTCGTATAAAATTGTTTTAAATATTTAGTCTGTAAAGTGTACGCGAACACTCAATGTTTTAGAAATGTTAAATATTAGCTATCAACGTGAAACTAACTATGGTCTCACAGGAAATTAATTAATTGGTCATTGCGAGGAAATGAACGTGCATCGACTTCTCCGCGAGAATACCGTTCAGCTTAATTAATTTCCTACGCCTACGCAAGTTGGTCGCGAAACGATTCCTTCCACGTCTCTCGGAAAGATAATGGAATCGTTCCGACAATTTCCAGTATCGAGAGGTTCCATTGTCTCGATATCGAAGGCTGCGTCTAATTCGCATATGAATTGCATGCTTTTTTTCATGTTATTTTATAAAAAAAGGAAAAATTATCGGGGAGTACATCCATACAGCATAATCATAACAAATTCGTGCCCGCGATTCGCGATGCTTTATGGATGTATTTCGACTTGTTTGTGTCCTCTGACACGCATTCAAATAATGGTTTATGCGTGTCCCCTGCGTCGCATAATTTGAGAAACCGGATAATTCATGTTACGTACTGGACGACCGTGGAATACGAGATGACGCATACGACCGCAAAGCAGCACGTATGTACATCCCACGCTCCTCTTTCTTCCGCGTTATATTTATTATTATATTTTCCTAAGGTCGAGATGATCATAATAGAATTGATAATTACTATTTTTAGTGATTATTGAATAAATATAATTTTGATTTTTAATTGCAAAATGACTATTATAATTTATTATATTGTTCTATTTACCTAATAGTTTTAATTTTTCGGTCTTATATTACGAATGATTTCGTATTTCTTGTTTGTTTTTTAGCATACATATATTTCTCACTTAAGAAAAATTTGATTATCAGCTTAATTTGGTCGTAATTGTTGATATCATAGCCGCAAGGTACTTCTTGAAGATGCATCCGCCTAACTGGTTAGTTGGCTTTCAATTTCCCCCTCGGTATTTAACGGTGAAAGGGGAAATTCGTCAGATATGCCCACGTGATTATGAAGCCACGAACAGAGTAGCGAAACGCCCACTCGAATTCCTAGATCCATGATCGTACCATCTTGGCGGCGATTCTTCTCTCTTGGTGCATCATGCATGCTTCGTTCTTTTGTTTTTAGAATCGCTTCCATGGTAATTCTGAGCAGGTACTGCGAAGATTTAAAGTTTATTTTGCGTGATCAAAGAATAGTCAGGAATAGAAAAGCCATTTTTCATTCGTGACTGTTACTCCCGAAGTTACTTCCAAATCTTTTCAGAGAATTTTTATATAAAAGTAAATACTTTAAACATATTTAATTAATAATTTTACTTACATATTTTATTATAATAATCTATTCTTTCCGAATATATTAACACGACGAATCAATAAGATTTACATGCAATGATACTTATCGAGCCCGAAAAATCTGACACGATATTAGACACTTCCTCCGACCTTAACCTTAAACCATTTACGTTTCAATTGTAACGAACTCGTCATGAAGGAATAAGAGCGGCGCGACAAAGGAAGCGTCACGACGTTTGAGCACAAAGAACGTCCTTTTCATGGAGAAGCGGGTGCGACGGCCGGCCGACTGGGCGCATTAGAATATATATACGAGGTGTAAAAAAAAAGGCGAGCACGAAAGTCGCGGGCGTGGGAAAGCCGGCCCTCGAGCGAGCCTCCAATTAACACCAATTAGCGCTCATCTGCTCTAGGTACTGCCAGTGAGCAGAGCTGACTTTACGTTTAGCGCGAGACGTCTGACTCGCCAACTCGGATTGGCAACAACGTGCTCTTTGTACTGCAGATTGCATCATCGAATGTATTGCTTTTACCATCGAAATATTAGAAACGTACTAAACAATCATTATTCCCTCCTGAGTTAACTAATACACTTACAGCTTTAATAAAATCTTCGAAATTGTCTCTCTCCCTTTGATAACCGAAGTTAATTTGAAATTAAACGCGAATCGCTTGAAGCAGTATATATCTATTTCAATCGCTGAGAAAAATTTATGTGATCGATAAGTTCGAGAATTAACAGTTAAATCACGAACGTATAATTAACCGAGTACACGTAGCCAAAAGCGAGAGACAAGAAGTAACTCGACTCACGCAAAAAATAGATTAATCGCTAGTAGAAACAGATCACTCAATTCATTTCTATCAACATAGAAAATAGTTTTAATCTCTTTTATTCTTTATCTTATTCTAATTTTCGGAAAGAAAGATAAAAAATAAATCAATTCGAGATATTAAAGTTAATCTACATAGAAGGATTTATCAGACTGCAGCTCGTTGGCTAACGAAAACAGATCGCACTTCAAATCAAATTGTAGTCCGTGTTATTAAAAAATTTATTTTTTACAACAATTTATCTCCAAGTAAATAAATGTGTTAAAAAATATTTTTAGATATAAAATATATGTACAGTATCATACAATATTAACTCGTCAATATAACATAAATTTTGAAGTGTAAGTACAAAGTTTTCGCTTCGCGGTTATTACTTTGCAAATACCAAAGTCTGCATTGTCTAATTTCCGAGGATCGTCAAGTTCATTATACCGATGCAGGCGTGTTGTGAGTGTGTGAGTGCGCGCGCGCGCGCGCTAATCTTTTTTTCGCCAAGACCGGTTCCATCAGAGGAACACTTCCAGCTTTCTACCATCGCATCGGCGGCTCGACTCCCGTGTAACCTCATCGGGTGGCAGCGCGCGGCTACACGAAACGAAGAAGCAGACAGTCGCATCTTCCGCGCGCGGCAGCACGATTCGAATTTATTTATTGCATTAGCCGACCGTCGCTCACTCACGGCCCTTGATTGGTGTGGTACCAATCGAGTTCCCCTTTGCGAACGACGCAACACACACGATGGCGGAGATAAGCTGGCTATACATAAAGGACGAAACTGTCATGTTGATACTTGTGCAAACGGCATTGTAATTATCCTGATTAACGGCGATTCTCTCAGTTTTGCATTATCATGCAGGCATTATCGATGTATCGCTAATCATTACAACAGAGTTTACGGTAATATCCGCGGCGAGTCCTATCCACGATGCCTTATATGCCTTATGTATGCCGTTGAGTTTATCCGCATAGGTATAATGTCGCATATAGTGTGTAAATCATACATATCGTATAATTTAAGAAACAAGGCAATTTATATAACACATTTTACACGGTGGTGGAACAGGAGATGACACGCTTCGGCATCGTATTCATCTTGTTTCGTTATCAGGTTTATACATTACATCGGAATCAATATGTTTTACACCATCCTATTTACACCGGAAGTTGTTTTCTATCGCATAATTTCGCACGACAAATGCGCTTTCGTGTAACTCTTGGTTACATAAGCTGAAGTCCTGAAATGGGTAACCCTACACTATCATATAATTTAAACCGCCCCCAAAGGTCAGCAGACGCTGTATAAATTTGCAAAAGCACCAGGCTCCGAAGGTCCCACTTAGAGCTATGCCTGGCGAGGAATTATTCAAGCTGGGCAAGGGTTAATTGCTGCCTTCATCAAACCACCTCCCTTCCTCTTTCAAATGAGCCCTTGTCGTCCGTGACATCACCGTTCTGTATTTAATCCGACTTTGTTGCGTCACGGCAATGTTGAATTCTATATAGACATCTAGATTAATCCATCACATAAGAGATCCTCTCGATCGTAATATATATACGTTCTTTTTGTATATAAATCTGTTTAAATAATTACTTCTCTAAGTAAAAAGTAAAATATTATTGTACATCTACGATTAAAATTAATAAGAAAATAATAAAAGCAATGAAACATTTTTTAACCTGAACATATTTATTCTACGCTACACACTTATCGCTATATTTTGTTTAAAATGATTTTAATATATTCTGCTGCAGAGGCAATTCACGTTGATATTACGAGCAAGAGACGAGGCAAGCGCCGGCGTGATCGAAGAAGCGAGTTACAGCGGCATCGTCTTGCCAGGACCCTCGTGGCATGCTCTCGATCATCAAGGAAAAAACGCTCACTTAGCGTATCGGGTGCGGGTCCAGTGCGCCGATCATTACTACAATGCAACCTGTACCAAATTCTGCCGACCTAGAAACGACATTTTCGGTCATTACACCTGCGATGAGAACGGGGACAAAGTGTGCATACAGGGATGGAAAGGCGTCGACTGCGAGACAGGTGAGTTTAAATTTGATCAACAACGATTACGATTGTAATGGGATCGTTGTTGCATGGCTATACGTTGTTTATCTAGAGTATTCCTTGTTCATATGTAAATTCTACGTTTAAATTAACTGCGATGTTAAACTTTCTTTTTGGGAAAATAATCTTCGATAAATATTGATAAATTACTTTTTACAATCTCCAAATGGTAATTCTTATTTTATTTATAAAATTATGCGCGAAATGCACTGCAAGAAAGAAGAGTAAGGAATTTTCTTAACATATTTCAGTATTAGCACCTCGGGTGTGCATCGACTTTAGAATGAATTATTGCCGATTAATCCTGCATTTACCGCATGCATAACCACGTATTACCATGCACATTATTAATTATACCGGACACGGTATAACGTATAGGCAAAAAATGTCTACGTAAACGTATTCCTTGACTCTTCTCTGAATCCTTTTATGGAAAATGTTTAGATAAATGACTTTTATCAAAGAGCGTTATGTTAAAATTATCTTATATTGTCATATTCGATTTTTAATTCTTTATTCTTTCTTTATTTCATAACACGTCATGTTCTTGCAAAAAGAATGCGCTTTATACAAAATTGATAAGAACTTGTTTAAGTTCTTTTTTAACTTGAGAGATAATGAATGTACTCATATAATTTTCTTATCTACATAAGAACGTGTTCGTGACAGATATACACTGTGAAATGTGCATGCACGAAATGCATATTTCCGCTCATTGTTATTATTTCATTACGTATAAAAACATTTCCGATAATATCAACGGTGCAAGCTAATTTTTGCCTTCTCCTGTGTATATCGTCAAGGGAATAATTAATCGTTCCTTGGAGCGTGAAAACTTGCAACTTACCACTTATGAGTATCGTTTATCTCAATTTCTCACGTACACGCATATACCTCTCAACCTAATGAGACTTTTACAATTTGATTACATTAATAATTATCATATTAATAATGAAACCGTTGCGTAAGTTCAATAATTTCTAAAATAGCAAAAAGAGATTGATTTTTATTTAAGAGTTCTATTTTACACCTGCTTTTAAGGAATCTAGAAATGACAGCCGAGACAAACGATGTTACGAATAGTAAATTTGATGATATCTGAACATTTTAATTTTAAATTATAATATTGAACTTTTTGTCCTGAAGAATATTTATTGAGGTTTTAGAGTAATATTTTTTATCTAAGATCTGAGTAATCGAAGAAAACCTAGGAACTATTATACGGACACGGAAACGGATAACACGTAAAAAGATGCCGAGGAAAGTGATGGCACAACGGAAGGACGGACGAAACTGCCTACCACGTTCCGCGATTTCTATCTTTATTTCACCGTTCCGGATTCTCGTCTCCCAGGGAAAACATCACGTTTCCGTCACGTCCGCGATTTAGCGCGCAGGAAGTCGCAGTGACGACGAGTGAAGCCGAGAGGAAGATGAGTGTCGCTGTGCGTGGTCCCGTACGGATCGTAAAACACGCGAATTATCCCGGAGCGTGCCTCAATGAGGCGGACGTTAGACGCATGTCGTACGATCTCCACAAAGGTAGCGACACATCACGCCAGGTCTCGTCGCACAATGCTGCGCCGACCAATATAACAGCTCTTTCTTCGCTGCTTAATCGTTACTTCCGCCTCGCCGTGACCGCTCTGTGGTTACTGTCATCCCTTCCCCGCACAACGTATAAGGTCGATCATAAGCAGACCGACGCGACGACTCGAGGAGACCCCGACCGCATTTACTTGACGATTCCGGCCGTTAGATATAGATATGCAGTACATGCAGTATAAATCCTTTTTCTACACTCCGGCGTTTTAATCATGCGATTCGTTTTCAGTTTACAGATCGATTTGCACAATAGGTATCGTGACACTAAAATAACAATATTCAATGCTATTATAAAAAGATGTGTATGAAACAACACAAATGGGTGTACCATTCCTAATATCTTTCGCTGCTCGATAATTGTGTATATTTTCTTATACTTACGGAGACTTTATGTGGAGATGCACTACAAATTAAAGAAGGCACATCAATTTTGGAAAACTATGCACGCGCGCGATATTACTTTATCGTTAAATAAATTTTGGAATGTTATAAAACTAGCTAGAAAAAATTGAGATCTCGTCATGTACTATGCTCAAATAATAATTTACTCACTTAGTCATTTCGCAAGTTTGCTGCACGCTTATGATATTATGCCAAAGGAATTTATACAACATTTGGTTATTTGACGGACTACGCTGCTTGTTTTCCTTGGCACTGTGAACTTTGAGATTCCACTGTTTGATAACCAGCAGCGACGATCATCTCTCCGGCCGCTACTCCGATAATTCGCTTTTTGCCATATCAGACACGCGCGATAGTTTACTGCAACACTTCCATTTCCAGTTTTAAATAAAAGTCCGATTTTTTCGAAAAATTGAATCTTCTTAACATAAAGCGTGACACCTAAAAAGTTTCTCCCATTTAACAACGCGGAAAGATCGAGTTATCGTTTTGAGCACGTTCTACTTAAGCGAACGGAAAAATGCGCGAACCCCAATTAGAAACTATCGGTGGAGATCGCGTGTTCGTGCAAGGCGATGAGTCGCGAGTCTCGGTTACGAGAGTAGATAGAAGAAACACGCGAGAAAGAGAGAGAAAACTTGCTCCATGCATTTTTGCAGCGCTGTGAAAGGTCAATAGGAGAATTTCACTCGTGCATCCTCTTCACACGATGTGCCAACCTGGTCGCGCGCGATAGAGGGAAATTCTGTGCACTATAAGCGCATATGTGGTCTTTTAACATTTGACAAGCGTAAAAAGATCTCGTATAAAAATATCGCTCCGTTGCCTAACTGCAATTGTTATATGATAATATTTAGACTTGGAAAAAATTCTTAAAATTAATAAAGTGCTCTCTTGTGCATTATTTGTTATCAGGAGACGATCAAGCCTTTATTTTGCACGCAATAAAAATATAATTATACTCTAGAAGAAAGGGTCGCATCACAACAACGATCCTCTCGATAATCCCGCGCGGATTACCAACGGACAAATAAAAATGATTCTTTCAACGCATGCAATCAGGGACGAATTTTCCTGGAAAACACTTCCGCGGGAACAGCGCGGCCAAGTCATAATTGTGCGTATACAAAGTATTATACGATCGCACGAAAAATCGCAGACCACGCGGATCTCTGCGCGCAGAGATCCGTTCCGTATACAAAAAGGCGTACGATGCGGAAAAAGGAAGAGAAACGCGCCTTTACGAAGGCGAATCGCGCAAGTTAATTTACCTAACTGCCAGCGTATTAATCAACCGCGAGCCGTAGGCATACGAGTAGCAGTACGAGTAGTAGTTTTAACCCATGGGGGATTTATAGTTTCTAAACTGTGCGAAAGGACGAACGCGCGGGAGAGTCTGTAAAAACATGAGGCAAGGCTTGATTAGCTCGATCCTCGACGACGGAAGACGCGATGACGACGACGACGACGACGAGGACGACGTTATAGCGCATACAAGCATCTCGCGCGGGAACCGTGCGGCTGGTGCAGCACGGCAAGAAAAGGCTGTCGCGAATGCATCGTCATTTAGGGGACCCCGAAGTATCGCGATGCGAGTCGTATAAATATCCGTAAATGTCCGTTGTCCGTGCCGGACGAGAGAGCCGGGGCTATTAATCATTAAGAATGCCGCGGGCGGTATATACGCGCGCATGTACGTACGCGTGTATGATAATCGCGTATGCACGCGGTAACGGTAAAGGTGTTGGTACACGGCCGACTGAAATCTCGAAAAGAGACATACGTACGTACGTATGTGCACACGATCGAGCGCGCGGCATGAGTTTTCGTTTCACGGTTGGAGGGATAATCCTTCTCTCTGTCACTTCTCATCTGTCTTTCTGTCCCACCGGCTAATTGAGTTGCCTGGTCCCGGCGAGATCCCCGTCACGTACGCGTCCTCTTTTCCGTTCCTGTTTTTTTTTTTATCCTGGCGAGAGCACGAGAAGAAACCGAGTCGTCATCGTTGTTGCATCTTCGTTGCGTTTCATCGTTTCCGGAGATATGGTATCCCGACCGCACCGAAATTACTTTTCCTCGTGCAACCAGCACCTGTATAACAAAGAAGCGTATCTATTGCTTTGGTACTTCTTCTCGCGCGTCCAGTAATCGCCCGAGATATCTGCAGATAATCGGGCGTATTCCTTTCCGAGAAAAAAACGCGTTCCGCGTTTGTCTCGACGCATACACCAGTTTCGTTCATTACGTTTCTCCGCTAATTACATTTGCCCCGACTCTATGATTGTTACGTGTCACATGTCGCGCACGGAAGACGAATAAGAGACTTAATCCGTCTACGTCACCATCTACAGATGTCCGTATAGATGTCTCGAAAGAATGCTTTTCGAATCTTTCATTCAATAGCTACATATAATCGATGGATACAGAACTTAAATCTCTTAAGACGCGTGGTATATTAATCTTCGCGATACAGTTATATCTTACTTATAATGGTTGGAAACTAAATGAATATAATGGAAAAGTGTTACACGTTTCTGCTGGAGTTTTATTGTGACAAAATCGTCTTTATAGCGCGTTCTTAGAAAAATTATTGTTATTAACAGATCGTTGGAACGTGTCTCAAGCGTTCCGGATTGAGCGCGACCTCAGCATATCGTAATTGGTAAAAATTGTTTTTCAGCTGTGTGCAAGGAGGGCTGTCACCCCGTGCATGGTCACTGCAACGTCAGCGGTGAGTGCCAATGTCGGCACGGTTGGCGCGGTGAGCTGTGCGAACAATGCATGCCTTATCCCGGTTGCAAGCACGGCTACTGCAATGGCTCGAGCTGGCAATGCATCTGCGACACGAACTGGGGCGGAATACTGTGCGACCAGGATCTCAACTACTGCGGCACCCACGAGCCATGTCAGAACGGCGGTACGTGCGAGAACACTGCTCCCGATCAGTACCGGTGCACCTGCCCGGAGGGCTTCTCCGGGCCTACCTGCGAGAAGATTGACAATCCTTGCGCGTCTAACCCATGCCTGAACGGCGCGACCTGCCGCGAGCTCGGCGAGACCGCGCAGTGCGAATGCGCCCCGGGATTCTCCGGACCATTTTGCGCGACCGACATCGACGAGTGCGCTTCGCAGCCGTGCCAGAACGGCGGTACCTGCGTAGACGGCAAGAACGGCTTCGCCTGTAACTGCCCATTTGCCTGGAAAGGCGTCCTCTGCCAGTTTGATGTGGATGAGTGCACGCTAAAGGAGTCGCCCTGCAAGAACTTTATCACTTGTATCAACTTGGCCGGTGATTATAGGTAGGTGTCACTGCCAAAACTATAATATATGTATTATGCTTTGTGTATTCGATGAAAATTGATAGGATTATTTACATATATTAAACGAGATTACATGAAACTGTTTTTATTAATTTATCATACACAAAAGTAACTGTAATTGACATTTAATAAAAGAGATACTGACATTTGTGTTATTATTATAGATTGCATATATTATTAATTTATTTGATATGTAAATATATGCTAATGACATGTTAAAAATCAACGCTGTCTGAAGAATGCAGATAAATTGATATTATCATAAGTTGGAATTCTGCTTAGTTTTCCTTTGTTTTAAATACAATGCATTACGTACGTATAGTCAGTTATTAAAAAACCGTATTGTAGTTGCGAGCGACTGCGCGTTAAACATTATTTAAGGATCCATTATTCCTCCGTGAAACGGAAACAGCAATTAATAAATCCATGGAGAGGGGTGGGAAACTAAATTATATTTAAATCTAACTCAAGTTTCCGTTTAAACGATTCTCCCGCGCAAGTCGTAACCTTCCCATTTACAAGTTTTACATCGTTTTGTTTCACAGATGCCGATGTCGGAGCGGTTTTACCGGGAAGAATTGCACAAAGAATATCAATGACTGCGTCGGCCAGTGCCAACACGGCGCTCTCTGTATCGACCTGGTAGATGATTATCATTGCAGCTGCACTCCCGGTTACTCCGGCAAGGATTGCGACGTTGACATCGATGAGTGCGCGTCCAAGCCGTGTCAAAACGGTGGCGAATGCCGCGATCTGGTAAACGCTTATGCGTGCGTGTGCCCGGTGGGCTTCACCGGCTACCAATGCGAAATCGATCGCGATCATTGCAGTCCGAATCCGTGTCGCAATTCGGCACCATGTTTTAACACGCAAACTGACTACTACTGTCACTGTCCAGCACAGTGGCAGGGCAAAAATTGCTCGGAGCCGGCCTTGAATAATCCGCAATTCGGTGTGTTGGACGATGGGCAGTCGGGTTGCGGCAGCGAAGGTACTCCGTGCGGCGGTAAGGGCCGATGCAGCGGCGGCAGATGCATCTGCGATCCAGGTTACACCGGCGTGCATTGTCATGAGAACATCAACGATTGCCGCGGCAATCCCTGTTTAAACGGCGGCACGTGCGTTGACTTGCTTAACTCGTTCCAGTGCATCTGCAGAGAGGGCTGGAGTGGAGATCTTTGCGACCAAAGTAAGAGTAACAGAATATTTAAGAAATGTGATTAAATGGCAATCGATTAATTTGATTAATCTAGACTCGATATATGGTATGTATAATGTTGTGGTAAATGAATTCTTTCAGATGTGGATGACTGCTTGACACAGCCTTGCCACAACAATGGTACCTGCGTAGACGGCGTGGCAGATTTCACGTGCATCTGCCAGGGCGACTGGAAGGGTAAGACGTGCACCCTGCGCCGCGGGCACTGCGACGAAGATACTTGCCGCAACGGCGGGGATTGCAAAGATCACGGTGACAGCTTTACGTGCAACTGCCCGCGCGGATGGGAAGGCACAATCTGCCACATCGCATCGCCATCGGCGTGTACGAGTAATCCTTGCGCAAATGGCGCAACCTGCGTCAATACGGTTGATGGCAGCTACCGATGCGTCTGTCGAGAGGGTTTCGAAGGACCAGATTGCCGGAGCAATGTGGACAATTGCCAACCAGTGCCATGCCTGAACGGTGGAAAATGTGTGGACGGTGACAACTGGTTCAGATGCGAATGTGCACCCGGGTTTACTGGCCCGGATTGTCGCATTAACGTGAACGAATGCGCGAGCGATCCGTGCACCGCAGGTGCCACCTGTGTGGACGGCATCGCGAGCTACTCGTGCATTTGTCCACCTAGTAGAACCGGTCCGCGATGTGAGATCCGGACAGCTGGTGGGCCCGGTTGCACGGCCGCTACGTGGGAAGATGAGTGCAATGTATGCGAGTGTCGGAACGGCAAGAACCAATGCAGCAATGTATGGTGCGGACCGGGCAACTGCTTGAACGGCACCTCTTGTTTGGCTCACGAGGTCTGTGTTCCTAGTCCAGGCGAGAGTTGTCTAGCGCCACCGTGTCCAGCGTGGGGCGAGTGTCGTCCTATCGAAACTGGCAGACGAGTTGGTCCACCAGCGCTACCAGCACCCCCATCTTGCTGGCCCGGACAAACCACGCTCGGACCAACTTGCTCGAGACTCACGATACTATTGCGAAGGGACACCCTGGCGTCTGGCACGTCGGTGGAATTATTGTGCCGTCGTCTGAGGAAGCTACTGGCCGATCCACGAAGACCGCAATCGGTTGTGCTATTGTGCGATCTGAAGCCCGGTGATAACGATACGATAGAAGTGACCATATTCTCCGAGGCAGCAGCGGACGCGGCCCGCGATCTCGGTGAAACACTCAGTCGTCCACTAGCCAGACCTCTCGTATTAGTTTCTGTACTAGAGGTCAAAGTAGAAACAGCGCTGCTTAGCGAGCCTAGTTTGGCGAGTGCGGCTAATGCCAGTAGCTACGTAACTGTTTTGGGTAGCGCTCTGGCGATTGTGCTGTTATTGGTGCTATTCGGTAGCCTCTGGTATCTCAAAACTATGAGGCATAGATCGAACCTAACGGCGACTACCAGCAGCGAAACTTCGTTACATCGTCATCGAAGCGATCTAGACGAAAAGTCGAATAATCTTCAGAATGAGGAGAATTTGAGGAGATATGCCAATCCACTCAAGGACCAAGATTCCGAACCCCGCGTGTCCGTTGTAAGACCTCTGTCAGGTACTTCGCTTGGCACATTGACCGGCACCGAGGAGAGTCTCGAAATGGTATCTGAAGAAGGTAGACATCGTTTGCCCCCACTGTATAAACCGCCCAGTGCGGAAGCTAGAAATAATACGGCCAGTTTTAGCTATGAAGAAGGACCGCATAAACCTTACATCAAGCCCAGACTGCAAGAACCAATGTATCCTCATCAGCAACCAGGTACCAGTCAAACGTCGGGGTCGCATCAAGTGCTAACGGTACACGTGTGATTAAATATCATTAAAGTAATATGAAAAACAGTGTTGCAGTGATTTTCTTGATTTTTTTGCATACATGATGTACTGTAAATGTAATGAAAATTCTTAGAGACCTTAAAGGTAAGGACTGAACGTTTACTTGAACGATCTTTTTTTTTGTGATAATGGGAAATGACTTTCGATTTCGAAACTAACTTTAGGGACAAATGCAGAGAAAAAAGGAAGAGGACGATTCTTATAGGGCTCAGCAATACCATTATGTTATAAGATGATACATAAATTTTCAATGCCTCTCCGAAGCGCATTTTTTATAATCGCTTCACTTATAGTATTATTAGAATATGACTGTTAAATTTTCAATTTCTAAATAATTATTAAATAATTAGCAAAAATGTGTGTTAGTACTATTTTCAGGTTGAAAATTTAGAAAATAATTGAAATTTATTTCCTCTTTTTCTCCTCATCCGGCCCTTTCATACTTTTATATGACGACAATAAACGATTGACATTTATAAATAATTTTAATGATAATGATCAGTTGTTATCGTTGTACATATGTACATAGCTCGTACTTATTAATTTCACTAAGCCTGTATCTCCTTCGCATCATCTTCGGCGTTGCCATTCTTCTCTCTTGTACGCGCCCTCGATTTGATATGTTTATATTTAATCATATACTCTTTTGATATTACTATATATATATCGCCATTGTTAACATTTTTACTTTCATAATTTAAAAAATGAGATGGCATCGTCACACCTACAAGATGTATTGTACGTTTGTCATGTATAATTGTCAAAGCAAAGCTGCGCTTCATTCAAGATCAGAAGATACATAGCATGTAAATAAATTTGACAAAAGATACGAGAATTTCTTTATATATCATTTGGATTTAATATAATATATTGCGCAGACAATCGCTTGATCATTGTACGTGAAAGTATGCTTTGTATGATATAACGTGGGCTTCAAACGTTCCTTCAGACGATATTATTGTGATACTCATAGAAGAAACAACGTTATTGTATAGCATTGCTATGGTACTCTGCGTGTTCATTTATTTCACTTGTTTGAGTTTTATTTTTTCGCGAAGACACGACATGTGATTTTTATGCGATGGGAAATATTGCCATTTCGAAAGGATGTGCTGCACGATACGCTAAATCGCAGTGGCACATTGACTTGTAAAGAACATGTTAGCGACGTAAATGTAATATGAATTTAGAACGTATTCGAACGCAGAATAAAAACGATGTACATAGTGACGCTATTGCATCGTGGAACGATGTAAATAAATCTTAAGTACACATGTCCAGATCGTTTTCATCCCGAGTCATTATCGACCCACCCTTAGATGTGCAATTCGTTTTTTTGTATTAGTATTTTCCGTATTCTCTAGCAAAGTGTCCACAACAGATAGTAGTTTAAACTGAGAAACATAGCTCGTTTTAGGCATACATAGATTTACAGCAAGAAGGAACAAAGTTTTATAATAAATACTTTATTTTGTAGAGAAAGTTATATTATTGTACGAATACATATAGAAGAAAATGAAAAAAACGATGAATATATATATAAATATATAAAAATATAAATATATATTATATATTATATTATTTTTATTTTATTATCTCGTATTAATTATTTTCAGATCATAAGCAATAGTTGATCATTGTCATATAATTTTTTGTTCACTCGTCGTCTTCAAAACGAACGACGGCATTAAAAATCTGCCACTAATGCTTTTGGTCTAATTGACGATAAACAATTAAGAGAAGCATCCACGTTGTGATTATTCGTGTTTGATATCGAGAAATGTTCAAACGAATGCGTGTATATAAGCTCCCTCCTACTATTCCCTCTTCCCCCACATAGATTTACGACGATGTGAAGGATTTCAATAAAAAGTACAACCATTCGACATGGTGTTTACACTTTATTATACCTTTGCGTCAATGTGTCGATGACAACGCTCACATAAGCATTTCCGGCATTGAAATCACTAAAAGAAAGTATAATTAAACGTGAAAAAAGATACATCCTCTACGTAATTTCTTCCAGTGTAATAAATACCACAATATTTTAGATTTAATTAACAAAGTCATTTTAAATATTTTTTTGTTATTTTTGTAAAGAGAAAAAACCTTACAAAAAAATTATGATAAAACTGTTGAGATTATCGAATTATCTTCATTGTTCGCTAGCCAATTAAGAAGTCATAAATCCATCCGCTTCTCTTCATACTTCAGAGATAGAGATACGGGCGGCGGATTTTATCAGCGGCGCCGATTTCAATGGCCCGTCACGATTGTTTCATTAGAGATAATACCGATGCCATTACCATCGAAAGTGCGGCCGAGATTAACAAAGCGCTCGGCGGGTCATCTCGTCGTTGCCGCGACGAGACGGGACACGGATCCTCTCGTGTACGAAGCACGTACCGCTGAATGAATGATCTGCCGAAATTACAATACAATGGACCAGAAGAGCCACTTGACAAATACTCGGTAGATGAATCATGCGCGATAAACGATTTGGCTCGTGTGAAACGCGATACGTAATATAGCCGCCGATCGCCGCAATAGCTAGTTTATACCTTTCATTACTTAGAGATACATTTATTATTATGTATTATTTCTCAAAGACAAAGAATTTATTATATTAAATATTACATTTGTTTTAATATTATAATTATGCCATGGTGGAATTCCACATCGTGAATTATGCTATGTTTCATTTAATTTTCATAAACTTGCAACTAATTTCACGTAACAAAGTGTTGTAAATTTAAAAACATTTAAAAATCATGTGTTATGTTTTGATATAATGATACTTACATTTACACGAGTTACATCTTTATTGAACGGACAATAAGTATATCGCCCATAAATATGGATCTTACACAAGTATTTCAACACTAATAATATATTTTCTACAATGTTCCGATATACTTTCTTTTTCACAACTGAAAAAATAAATATATTCGAACAATTTCCGTATATTTTATGTTTAAAATAAAATCGTACGTAATGTCAAAATAGTAGATATATAATTAACAATAACAATTAAGATATAATTACCCCAAAAAGATTTAAATTTCGCAAACATCATTTAGATATTAGAGAACATCGAAGATGTTGCCGAAGCATTGCACGATGAAGAAACAGAGTCATGGACCGAATATGATGAAGATGACATTGAAACCATAGAGGAAGAAGAGGAAGACATCAAAATAGAGTCAAAAGATAAATCTGAAGCTGTGGAAGAAGAAAGAAAACATATCAAAGTGGAACCAGAAATAATCGACGAGACTGACATATTCGCTGATTTTATGATGGAATTTGAAGCAAAAAGGACGAAGGAATTGGCGGTCAAGGCTGAAGAGAAGAAGAAACAGCTGCGGCAACTGATCCATGTAACTTGAGCGTGACGACTTGGTAGCTTAATGTTTCAATATAATATACAGAATGTCCTGTGTTTCGATGTTCGCAATTCAATTTTATTAGCTATGTCGCGATTCTAAATAATTAAGCTACCACAATATAATTAAATGAATGACAGGATCGATCTGTCTTTAATTTTGAGTAAATCTCAATCTGGTCAAGCATTATTAATATAAAAGGCAGGTTAAACGGAAGAAAGATGACGATGCGTCTGAAGGAACACCGATCACGCCGGAAGAAGAAGATATTACGAGTGACCGAGTATCCACTGAGAGCTCGATTCATCCATGTTTACGCAAGATAGATATTAGCGATTCTCAGCTGAAATTAGTGAATCCGTATACGGTGTATCAAGTTCCGAACGATCCCGGATTGCTACCAGCTTTCTGGCTGTTACGTGAGCGCCCACCAATTTACAGCACGGATGGGGTACAAAAATTCTACGATATAGTAAAACGTGCCGGTTTAAGATCGATTGGTTCGTTGAAGGATATGCTCTTAACAGATCAATTAAATTTGCGTTATTATGGACTTAATTCACCAGTAATGAAAGCGATCTGCGAGGCTTTAGCTGACAACACTTTTGTGCGAAAACTGGATCTGAAGGTACAATTAAGTTTAAATATCAATTTATATGGATCGTATCAAAAAATCCTAAATATCTTAAAATACCATGAAAATGATGATTTATTTGAAAACTGTCTACAAAGTAGAACTAATTAAATTCTTCAATTTTGTGCTGTGACGCAAATGTTATACTTTTGATTAAATAAAATATGTTCTTTTCAATTAACTATTTTATTATACATATTTTTAATTAAAGGATAATGAACTATCCGCGAATGCGTGCAAATATTTAAATGATTTACTACGCACAAACAATGCAATAATCGATTTATCACTATCGAATTGCCGAATTGGCACAAATGGAGCAAAAAAATTATACGATGCGATATCAGAGAACGCATTCCTAAAGATGCTCGATCTCAGTAGCTGCGACATCGGGAATGAAGGCTTCGGATACATCGCATCTGCATTATCTAATAATCAAGACTTGCAGAGTGTTGATCTATCTGATAATCATCTGGACGAGACGTGCTCAGAAAGTCTGCGAAATCTGCTCTTGCACTCCAAAAGTTTGACGCATTTGAACTTATCCTGGAACTCTCTATATAGCACAAAAACCTGGAAAGCTCTGGTTGATGGACTCAAGAAAAATAAGACGCTGCGTTCCTTGAATTTATCTTGGAACGCACTTGGACAGGAATGTGTACATCAACTTTATAACCTATTATCACGTTCGGGGAGCATTGAGAAGTTAAACTTAAGTTGTAAATATATATCAGGTTTTTTTTTAAGAAAAAAAAAGTATATATTAATGTTTTATATCAGGATACAATTATGAAAGAAATAAAAATTAAAAATCGTCAACAAAAATTTTTTTAAAAGAATGTCTCAATTTTTTAAATTTCATTATTTATGCATATATATTTCAGAGTATAATAATAAAAAACAAAATAAGAAATGTCATAAAATATGAACATCTAGCAGTCACTTAAAATATCTCACAGGAAATAAATTCCAAAGGCATGTGTTCTTTTCTTTTAAGATTTATTTTTTATGATTCAAAGGGAACAGATTTACCGAAAAAGATGCTAAAATTATCGCAAAAGGTTTATCGAAAAATAACACGCTTCAGGAATTACGACTGGGAAACAATCCTTTGAGAGCACAAGGTGTTTTAGCTTTGGTTCACGCAATTACGCCGAATCTATCGCCCAATAGTGCTTTACGTCTTTTGGACTTAGAGAACATTTGGGCGAATAAGGATATTCTCGAAGACTTGGAGATAATTGAAAAATTCAGACCATGGGTTGCAGTCAAATTAGGCGGTATTCTAAGTAATTATCAACTTATTGGACCAAATGTTAGAAAAATACTTTTGAAGAGAGCGAATTATGAGGCAATGCTACCGAAACGAAAGAGGCAACGACGCAACTTCGACCAATTTGTGATGTCATTGACAGACAAACAAATATCACGAGGCATGTTCGCACGATTTCATTATATATTTTTTCTTAGTTCTCTTCAAGCTTATGAAAAGTCACCGTTCATATTTTAAGAAAATTAAAAATAGATTTTCGTTCTTGTAGTAAAATTTTTACAATTAGTGCAGAAGTTCAAGCTAAAGCTTTCTACGTCGCTCGTTGATGAAATAATGAATGCATTTGAGGGGCCGCATGACACTGTCGATCAAAAACTGTTAAAATCATTTTATTTAGAAGAATATCCAGAAACAACACTACTAACATTAAAAAAAAAGAAATTAAAAACCACTAAACATACAAAAAAAGAGAAGTAAAAGGTGGAATAAACAATTTTTTTTATATATATTATATTGTTATGTAATAAATAATTGAAAGAAATTCTGGAATCTCTTTATAATACTATATTACATATTTCACACCATGATAGATTGTAATAAATGTCATTTTTATAATAAAAATTTATCAAGCATTAATTTTTGCTTTTAATGAGGTACTGAATAGTTATCTGAATTATGTGTGTGTGTGTATATACATATAAAATTTAATCTATATAAAATATTCTTGCTGCAATATCATCAACAATCCAATTAATACCATCGACTAGATTTTCACCCGTCACAGCGGAACACTTATAAATTTGCCAATGATGAGTTTTTATATTGGGTAACTCCAGAATATCGGCTATGTCAGTTGCAGATAATGCACCAGGCATATCCTGCTTATTGGCAAATACAAGAAGACTTGCCCCTTCTAATCTTTCCTCTTGCAAAAGTTTGTACAATTCTGTTTTGCAATCGTCCAATCTCCTTTTGTCTGCACTATCTATCACCCAAACAAGTCCGTCAGTTGACTCAAAGTAATTTCTCCAATAAGAACGTAGTGATTTTTGTCCACCCACATCCCATATATTGAGCTTGTATCCGCGATGTTCTAATGTCTTGATATTAAAGCCAAGCGTAGGCGATATAGTGTCTATTGGTTCACCATTGAGTCTCTTCAACACTGTCGTCTTGCCTGCATTATCCAAGCCCCTGAAATTTTAATATAATATTGTTCAAAGTAAATGAGGAAATATGTATATACTTCCAAATAATTGTTCTTCACTTATTTAATGCATTGTAAGTTCAATAAGCATAATATTTATTAACCTGTCAACATGTAAACTAACCACAAGCTGAATATATAAAATAGATACACAAACACAAATACGTACAACATTAAAATCCGCATCTCCTTTTCTTTCTGTTTCAATTTTTTCAGCACCGTTAAAAGACCCATTGTCGATTGTCCATTAATTACTCCACGATGTTCAGATCGTTAAATGTTTATATGCAAACAAAAGGCCCCTTCAATTTTGACAGAAACGTTTCTAACCTCCAATCTATCACTCGTTAAAATTGTACTGATCAAGTACTATTGGGTGCTTTCCAACAAGCTACACAAGCCTTGTGTCACAACTGTCACAAGGAAGGTACGTTCTATTTCACGCATGATGCATCAATTGTGCATCTTTATTTAACATTTGGGTTAGCAACAAGGACGCGCATCATGCAAGAAATGGAATTCACAGTATAACACATAATTGGTTATTACTTATAGATCCAACCAATCATATTCGATCGCTCGGCAAGCGTACCTAGCCGCTTTGTCATCTTGAACTCGCCCAATGACGGCGTTCAGCAGAGCTTTGCAACTGTTGTAAAATCTTCAGTTAATTGGTTTATCCATTTAGAGAGAGGTATCGGGCGCGTTCAGTGGATTCAACAGTTGAGTGAACGCTCACTTTTATTGGTGTATTCTTTTAGATCATTTAATCAGAATTTTAAATCTGTAAGAATGCACCAATAACAGCGAACGCTCACTCAACTGTTCAGTCCGCTGAATGCATCCAGGAATTAAAAGCAAGAACCAACCGTATTCAAGAATTTTACACAGTTGCAAAGTGGTATTCTCTGCTGAACGTAACTATTGACAAACAGGATGTTATGATGCACTGTGCCACACTGTGGATGCGGTTCACATGACGCTACAAATGCTTCAAAGATTTCGATTGACCAATCAGAAGAATTTTACTAATTGACCAATCAAAAAATGCTTTGAAGCATTTGTAACATCAAATAGATCGTAGATCGTGTCATCTGTGTCGCTTGTTGAAAAGCACACATTATTAAAAACAATCTGCTGAGTAAAATATAATTGAAAAATCCATCATTATCAATTATCGATATATAGGTATAAATGTAAATCTATATACACATATGTGGTAATATATATAAAATTGTAATTTAAAAATTTTTTCCAATTGTTCATATAGTTTTATATTTTCCTACATTTATTTACGTATCTTTTTAGTATTCTATTTTAGAGACTCATACTTTATTCACATCAAATTTAATGACAATTAAATGTATGTATATGTGTATGCCCTTGTCAAATAAATACTAAAAGATTAACAATTATAAATTTTCAGTTATAATGTTTTTTGCAATATTTGTAACTTATGGAATGCATGACTGTTCAGTTAAAAAATTTATATGTAACCAAATAAATAAATATATATGCAGGTTGTTCCCGAGTTAAGCCGGCAAACTTAAAATATGAATTCAGGATCTGGAAACAAACAAAAATTTTCTTGTGGACGTATACTTGCAAAGTTTCATTTCATTCAAAATTTTACTTTTGAAGTTACAGAACTGTAGGAATGAATAATTAAAATTTCTTTTGTTTTGAAACTCGAAAATCATTGATAGGCTTTCGTTCGCAAAGTTCGTAGTTCGTAGCTCGTAGTCGTTAGTTTGTTGAACGCTTTTGTAATAACAATGTATTTACAACATATGTAATTGTAGTAACAATAGAATTTAACACCATTACAGTTTTTGTATGGAATACTCTGAAGCAAAAAGTGTACCTGTTATAATGACCCTCAATCAATAAAATGAAAAGTTGTGCAAACGTATGAAGAAATTAGACACATAAGGTCAGTCAGCTACTCGTTCTCTCATCGATAGATGTAATGCTTGTTTCTCGATTGGACATCGCACTGAACAAAACGTTTGAACAAAAAAATATTTAATAATTAAAGTTTGATTATTGTAAAGCAATAAAAAGGACAGATATTATTTCGACATTACTCATTCTTACACTGTGTAATTTCAGAAATAAATATTTCTTGAACAAAGTGTTTGCAAGCATACAGAGAAGAAATTTTTGTCTGTTTTTTTATCCTGAATTCATATTTTAAGTTTGGTCTTTAACCAGGAAACACTCTCTGTTTCCCTGTATATTTAATTACATATAAACTATTTAACTTTTAACCAGGTAAAGCCGGTGACGTACAATGGTTTCCTGCTGGATTGCTAGTTGGATTAGAATCTTATTACCTTATTGATTGCAGTACTGACGATGCATGCCAGCATTGTGGTCAATACGATGGCAAGAATCTAATCCAGCTAGCAATCCAGTAAGAAAACAAGCATCGTGTATCACTGATTTAACTGTTAATATCTAAGTAACATAAAACGCAATAATAAAAAAAAATTTGACATTATCTTACTTTTATCCAATCTTATTTTTATAAAATAGAAATGCAATTCATTGAGGATTATTAGTAATGTCTTTCTAGCAATACTTTTGCTGCTTTACTAATAACGTCTGGATGACATAAAGCATTGATAAGAGATTCAAAAAATGAGTCATATTGAGGATTAGGTACATAATCTCCAGATGCACTTGTTTCTTCTGATGGATACTTCTCCTTGTCTCTTTTCCGTCTTTCTTCAATAAATTCTTTAAATTCGTGTTCATTTGCATCAGGTAACAATTTAACATAATAGGAATATTCTTCAGCTAATTCTGTTGCAGTCTCTGGTATAGGTTTAGATCTTTTTACTGGTATGTTTGGAACCGATCCAGTTTGTTTCTCCTGCTCCTCTTCTTGTGCATGTTCAACAGCACATTCAATCTAAAGAGATGGTTTTATAAATTAAACATAAATTTAATCTATATTTAATCAACAATATTGATATTTCTTAAAAGAAGAAATTACTTCTGTTGTATAATATGTAGTTAACTTATTCGGAAACTGATTATAATCCCCCATCTTGGCTATTATCAATTTTACCAGAGCTTCCTCAACTCGTGCTCTGCTATCTGATTTCAGTTTTCCCCATATATTAACGCTTACATTGACTTTATCTAAAGATTCCACATAATGCCACCAACCGTTAGGCACAAATAAAACATCTCCAGGCTCTAAAGTTATTAATTTTGGTTTGTTTGGTATATCCAACAAACAATCTTTTTCTTCTTCACTTAGGCAATAAATATTATATCTGCTATATACAGTTGACTCTTCATAAGGAAGTCTAACTGGTATCAGAGAAGCATTAGGTGGATAAAGTAACCATTGTTTCCTGCAAATATATTAGATACAATATAAACAGACATAATGATCATTTGATGGTGCAACATCTGAGAGAGAGAGAGAGGGGGGGGAAGGAGAGGGAGGGAGGGAGAGGGAGAGGGAGGGAGGGGGAGAGAGAGAGAGCAAGAGAGAGAGAATTAAAACTAAAAAATAATTGAAAAATACAAACCTGCCATGTATTTGTGCTACTAAATTATAACCATAGGTATCCCAATGACAATCGGTATGAGCACCTTTGCCTCCAATCCAAATAGTAGAATGCATTCCATTTTTACCAAGTTCTTTGTCAATCCCGAATTTAAGCCAATTGAAAGATTCTATAATGTCTGTATTGTCGCTGAGCCACTCCTTTATATGCTTGTAATCACAGTAATGCCATATATTATTCTGCTTTATTTCTTGTAAATCAATAAATTCTTGAAGCGTTAACTGAATCGGTTTTGCAGGAGGACTCACGCACCAATGATGATGTTGAAGAACACACTAAGAAATGGATTCAATTAAACTATTAATAAAATTATCAATCAATCCTGAAGCCGAAACTAGTAGCGCTAAGTTAATTTTAAGTAATTTTTTTTTTTGTAATTGTATATATTTTTATGGTTTTTATAATTAGATTTTATTTTATTTTATCACTTAGAATTTTAACATTACATTAAATGAATTTATATTTTGACTCTTACATCGCCCTTGTTATTTTATTTATTATTGTTATACTAAGGGTCCTTGATTATTTTCATTTTATTATCATTAAAATCATTAAAAGAATATATAAATACAAACATAGGCGAGTTTTTCAATTCATCGATTGATCAATCGCATTATGCGCAATTGTAGCTTTTACAGAACAAAATTACATCTACGCACAATGCGATTGATCAATCGATGAATTTAAAAACTCACCCTATATTTATTGTTTTATTCACCCTATATTGTTATAACTTACTGTACGCTTGTTATGATTACCAATTCGAAATGGTAATTTCTTATTTCCAAACTTTTCAACCAATTCAGTCAGACTCCACTGAAGTAACTTCCATTCGTAAGAACCATCAGAATTTTGTAACATGTTCTGAAACAATACAGGTTCTTCAAGTTTTGGTAGAATTTCTCTCAGAATATCTTCCAACGGTTGTGAATGGCGACTCATGTTTATAATTATCTTATAAGGTGTAACCGTTAAAATTAGTCACTTTTCTTATCTTAATTAAATTATAAAATAATTGATTTTTTAAGATTAATTCAAATTAAATAAAATCTCTCAAACTACATATCAAAAGCAACAATGCACTTTTTTGTCTCTCAGATACTGTTAGATAGATACTGTCTTATTTGTAAACTTTGATATATCTCATTAATATTATAATAAATATATGTATAATAAATAAATGACAATTTCATCGAAATTTGCCAATACTCGATTCACACTGCGACATCTAACGTATATATGTAGAGTAGAGTAGAGTCCTAGATATCAGGGTGCAAACCCATGCAGCGGAATAACGAGCATTCCGTGTTTCTAGAGAATCTCGTGATTGGTTCTACTCTCGTTCCGCGTTAACCCGGATCCTCATACGGGCAACAGCGCTTTGACACCAAACGCTGATTGGTGAAAAACCGGTGGCGAGGGTAAAATTTACCCCCATAACCCGTTTTTCACCAATCAGCGTCCGGTGTCAAAGCGCTGTTGTCCGTATGAGGATCCGGGCTTACGCTATTCCGCTGCATGGGTTTACACCCTCAGAGAAGCGCAACCGGTGTCTCTGATATCTAGGACTCTAGGCTACACAGCCCTCGGCTAAGTACAGATGTGTAGTACTGTGTCGACAATAACGGACAATTGGAATGTAACTTGTGTCGCCGTGTGCACGAAAGTGTCTAGGGATATTGTAATTGGAAAGCACCCAGTATTGTCAGCACTGTCAGCAAATTTCGGAACGCACCCATAGTAGCAGTTATGGCTCCCGCAGACAGAACGCGGCAACGCTTGCCGCGCGGCGGAAGTTGCCGCGATAGCCAATCAGCGTCTCGCCGGCAAGATATTGATTGGTTATCGTGCCAACTTCCACCGCGCGGCAAGCGTTTCCGCGTTCTGTCTGCGGGAGCCGTTAGAAACCCTCAAGAGTTAAGGGTTGGATTATACTGGTTGTAATCTGTTAACTTATGCCGTAATCTGTAAAAATTGACCAATTATAATCGATTATTCCCCTCTCATTCGACTGTGATTGGTCAATTTTTACAGATTACGGCATAAGTTAACAGATTACGGCCAGTATAAATCAACCTTTACTTGACTCTTTAGTTAGTAATTTACATTGGCAAGTATTATCATCTTACACGTTTTTATTTACACATTTGTTTATTATTTTTATATACGCGAGTGGAATGAAGCGTTATAATCATGATTATTTTAATTAAATTTCTAATTATTTTATAAAAAAATAAATAATTAATAATAATAAATAATAATAATAATAATAGTAATAATAATAATAATTAATAATTTTTTTATTTTTATTTTATTATTTTATTTTATTTTTTTTCCAATTATTTTATTATTTTATTATTTTATTTTATTATTTTACCCCGCACGTTTGTACGATATATTAAGGGATTCATCCTGAAAAATATATTAAATTTAATACTACAAATATTTCGAAATTACTTTTAATTTGTTATTATTGTCATTGTGTATTTGTTACCTCTAACTTTCATATTTTAGCTAATTATAATCTTTCAGTCCTTAAAATTGAAAGTTTATAATATACTTACGTATTTTAAAATGTATATTGTTTGCTTTTTGTATGATACTGAAGATCGCAAAATTTAGAAAATGTAAAATTTGTAAAAATTAATATTTTAAATACGTCAGAGTCCATTTTTTACTTTGAATCGAGAATTCGAGATAATCGAAGATCCAGCGACGACGCTCGCTGTTGAATAGATTGAACTTCACTTTCTTGACGCTAGCGTCAAGCAGAATGGTCACGTGATCTGTTTTGATTTGACGCTGAAAATGAGCGTCGAGCGGCAGCATGAATAGGCACTTTTAAAATGAGAATACTCGCCTATCCTATATAAAACACAATATTTATGTACATATGCTACATTATAATTTTTTGTAGAATTTTTAAATCTAGATATTTAAAAATCCTACTTTTGGAATTTAATAATTTTACAAGTTCTAATAATTTTTAAAACATACTTTTAAAATTTAATTTTTAAAAATAAACTTTTCAATATGGTAACATTATTGAAAATCTTAATTTTAAAATTTTCAATAAAATAATTAATAAAAAATATAAATTCATAAAATGGACTCCTTGTAATTAAATATAACTATAATAATTTAGGGGGCTATTTAGGAGTCAGCGCAGTAAGACAAGCGCAAACATTAAATACTAAAATATACTTTATTATAGTTTAGAAGATACAAATACATTTGGACGTTTCGGTCATTGGTTTTGGTATAAAAGTATAAAATTTTATTTAAAAAATTTTTTTTTTAATTTTATAATTTTTAAAAATCTATTTTTGACATTTAGATTAATATTTGATCTAAACATTTGGATAAATGTAAAATTTTTTAACAATTTTGTTGAAAAACTGATGATCATGATATACGGATATCTAGACATGATTCGTACATCGTGAATCGCGAATACGACTAAATTCAGTGTAAGTTCATGTGATAAGACATTTATGATTCATGACGCCGAGTTATATATTGTCGGTTGCGACTTTTCTCAGAGGTTTACATTGAAACGCAATTAAATAATTAAAAATAAGCAGAAAAAATGGAAAAGCCTCCTTTACACACGCTTTAATGTATGGGATTCAGGTGATACGAAAACGAGGCTAGTTAAATTTGGCAACGTACATTTGGCAAGGTACATTGCGTTATCAGATAAAGCATGTGTTATTTTTCTAACCTAATTATGCTTTTACAAATGATTACAATCGTATTCTTAATGTCATGATATTTCTTTAATTTTTGATTACGATGTGTATCACAACTTTACGTTTGGTGCACATTAAATTGTTATAATTTGCATTTATTTTTTGGCTTCTTTTTCTGTTACAAATTTATAATAACATTCTTGTTATTACGTTTGCTTTAAATGCAAATTTATGCTTTGTATCTTGCTTAAAATAATTTTATGCTTTATATAACATTGTATTGGTACATATATATAACTATGCTTTATAAATTTGAAAGTGACATTTTTAATCTTTTTGTAAATAAAAGTTTTTAGTACAGTTTAATATGATCACGTTACGAGGAAAACTAAAAAAGGACAATGACATAGCAAATTCAAAGAATTACAACAGGCGAGTCTCAATACGAGATAAATTACTGATTAAAGAGGTTAATTTGATATAATATTCCTCATGTATTATGACAACATAACATATAAATTCTAATTAAATTTATGTTGAATGTGTCTTAGGTACAGGAAATGGAACAAACGTTGCCAGTAACTTGTAAAGTCACATTTAAAGATCCACATTGTCTTCATGAATTTATCTTGTTAATTATGCCAGATGAGGGATATTGGATTGGTGGCCATTTCTATTTTCAAATTTATATAAGCGAAGATTACAACATGGCGGTAATTTTATATTCAATAATTTTTATATATTATCTTAATTTACTTGTAGTTATCTTAAAATTATCTGTTAAATCAATGGCATTGCCAGTGAGCTCTATAATATACTATCGAAACATGTCTTTCCTGGAGATCAATCATGTAATTTTTTCTTTAGAGCAGAAACATGAAAAATGAAAAGTTTCATGTGAACTCTATGATTATTTATGATTTCACAGAATCATAATTTTTCCAACCGTGAAAATATGAAATTATTCATGTGAATCTTTTCGCCATGAATCGTGGTGGCAAAAAGTTGAAAAAACCTAAGGGAAATAATAAATATACTTTGATATTTAAAAGAAGTGTAGTCTGGACATATCATTCGCCAATATATTATTATTTCGGGAGATCAATTATTATGTTGAAATAAATTACATGATTGACTCCCTGTATCAAACTATAAAAAATAAAAGCAAATAAAAAAACTATAGCTTGATAGAGAAAAGAAAGGCAAACAAATGAAGGAAAACGTATCTTTATAACTCTTTTCTGCAAATAGCATTAAGCAATCAGTAAATTCTTGACACAGAAAAACTGTTTTTCCATCAGAGGATATGGTCAATGTAATGCTTTGAAACATTCTTGATCAATTTGTAAAATTCCTTTCGAGTCAATTAAATGCTTCAAAGTATTCATAGTAAGGCTGACGTTTCGTAGATGGAAATTTACAATAGAACAAAACTGCGAGACCAATCACAACTCTGCAGTCATTGCTCTTACTTTTCTTTTGTTATTTATCAAGTATTGAGAAACTCTTCCACTCCTTAGTGGTGCGCTCCAATATAGAGCTCACTGGGCATAGCATGTCTTAATTAGTGTGCATTTAGCAGTACATTTAGATATCATAAAGAAAGAAGAGGAAAAAGATTTTTTCTTTCCTTCAGACTGGGTCCACAACCTCGCTTTAAGAGGCTCTAAGCCGTAAAGCCGTAAGAAATTGACCAATCAGTCGATTATTTTTCTCGTATTCAACTTTGATTAGTCAATTTCTTACGGCTTTACGGCTTAGGGCTTCTTAAAGCGAGGTTGTGGACCGAGCCTTAGGAAGTAAAGAGATAAGAAGGAAAGAGAAGACGGGGATGTTTGTAAAATTGAAAGTTGCGACTGAATTCTCACTGTGTTAAATATTTTTTAGCCGCCAGTGGTAAAATGCTTAACGAAATTGTGGCATCCTAACATAAGCGAAGATGGCGATGTATGCCTATCTATTTTAAGACAAAGTAGTATTGATGGCATGGGATGGGCACCAACACGCAAACTAAAAGATGTTGTATGGGGTTTAAATTCTCTTTTCACTGTATGTATACAAGCATTTTCTGTTGCATAACTCATTCGATTAATGCGATTATGTTGAACATATTATATACATACTTATGTTTCTTTTAGGATCTCCTAAACTTTGATGATCCTTTGAATAGGGATGCAGCAGATTTGTTTATTAAGGATAAAGAATCTTTTCGAAGTAAAGTTAAAGATTATGTAATGCAATATGCAAAAAGATGATTTACATTGTAACATTTTAAGTAACAAATAATTACTTACATTTTCCAAATTGGTTTCGTACCTCTTTTTAATGTGTACAAAATTTACTCAAATTTGTTTTAGATTAACTATGATTTAACTCAATTTAATTTTGCTAGTCTTTTTACCTGAAAGTGATTATCATTGCTTTCAATTTCATATAATTCAATTCTTGGACTGTGTGTGTTATAGCGAAATTGTATTAACGTACCTTAATTATGATCTATATCATTATGTATGCAAGGAAATGTAAACATATAAAGATTAAAAGTACATCATGTGCACAATGTTTTTTTTCTCTTAACGAGACATTGTAATGCCAACGAACAACTGTAAATAAAGTGGATGTTTAATAACATATTTAAATAACTATAACTTATATGAATGCATCTTTTGTATAAAACATACAAGTATTGAATATGTAAAAAGTATCTCACGCTACAAGAATTGAAAATCACAAGTGTGCACACTATTTTGTCACAAGTATTTATTTATAATTTTCGTACAATGCTCGATTGATATTTTTATTAAACTTCCCAAAAAATTGATTTATTATTTATTATTCCATATACCTTTTATTCTCTGATTTATTGAAATGAATAAATCACAATTTGTGTGTTATACTTGTCGAATTAAAATTGAAAATTTGACTGCTGGCGACGGTCGGCAAAATATCGACGATCGATCAACGATTTTTGTTATAATTACAAGTTTTAACAAATAAATAATAACAAGAGAGAAAACAAGAAGAGATAATGTTTCTTCTTGTTTCTCATTTCTCATCGTTCCTCCGCGTTGTTCGGATGTAGACTAGGCATGTACGCAAAGTGGTACAGCCACACATCTGCGCATGTATATGTGTGTGTGTGTGTGTGTATAAATATAAATAAAAAATTGCAGCTTTCCATCGTTAGAACGTGGTCCGTAGTTCTTCTTGTATACTAGTTGATCTGATGAGTTTTTGTTTGGAACCCAGCAAACTCTCGCTCCCTAGGCTATTACTGTCAGAAGCTATTTTCGACTTTTCTTCGTGATATTCTTCATTATATTCCTTCAATCTGTTACCTAGGAACACAGCCCTCTCGCGTTTTTTAATCATAAACTCAGTCGGCAGTAGCCATCGATGTTCGTGGCATTCCTCTGCTAATGGTCTTTTGCTAAAAAAAAATTAATGTATTTTTTAAATATATATATATATATATATAAAAGAGACTTCTTATTACATACAAAAATATTTCATATAATATTAAATATAATTATATGATTATAATAAATCTTTATATTAATCTTGATAACTTAAAAAGTTATTACCAACCTTGGTGCGCGTTTAAAGATTAACATGAGAAATCTGGTGGCTTCTTGGCTCAACTCTTTGTAAAGATATTCAAATCTATATCTGACAAAGGATATATTCTGTCTGGTCTCATCCGCATCCTTACCACGGAATGGAGAAACTCCAGATAGTAATACATAGATCAACACACCGACCATCCAAATGTCCGTTTGCGGGTAGACAAGTTCATCGTTGTAGAGTTCGGGCGATTTGTATTCAGGATGACCCAGATGCTTGGGCACTATTGTGCCCAATTTGCTGACTCTATGAGCTGATCCCATATCGACCAACTTCACCTGAACTGATCTCACAGATGACATAACAACATTGTCCGGCTGAATATCTAGATGACAGTACCCACGCCAATGAAGATACTGCAGACCATCGAGAATCTGCGTAATAGCATTCGCTACACAGTTTTCTGTATACTCGTGCCGACTAGAGAAGTACGTGAGTATATCAGCACCCTGAAGTTTCTCCATGATAAACACTGCTACAGGGGAGTTGGATGCTTTGTACGCAGCCTCCAGCATGGCTATCCGTTCGTGTCGCAATGAACATAATACTTCGTATTCTTGGTTCACTTGTTTTTCCGTCTCGGCATTTAATTCCAAGATCTTGGCAACAATCACGCGATCCGTACTCTTATCCACTCCCTTCACAACCGCAGAGAATTGTCCGCGCGATAGCTCCGAGATAAAACTATACTTGGTGGACAGTTGCGGTTCCACCAACCATTCAATCGGATTCTTCTCTATGGAGTAATCGATGTGTGGTTTATCCTCTTCCAGGACAATCTCTTGGCCGGCTTCAGTTAGCTCTTGAAGGTGTCTCATCGCCCGTGTGATCTGTACCTTCGGGCAGCCTGGCGGTCGCGTCTTGATTAACTTCGACTGAATGCCCTTTTCGCTCCAACCAATACGGTTACGCGCTGCCAGACGGAAGTTGTAACTTGTGTCTTGCTTTAAGTCGCGCACCAGATAGAATTCGTGGTCGATGTTGAAGGCAACATCTATCCATGCGATTGAATCACCTTCCTTATACTGTAAATTATAGCATAGCACAGGCGAATTACCATCGTACTTTGGTTGCTTCCATCGTAGAAGCACTTCGGTATCCGAAACATCGGTAGCCTAGAAAATTGAAAATAATATTTTGCACAAAAATGGAAACATCATTTTGGTATATACAAATTGGTCACCACTTTCAAAATCATTTTAATGTTTGTACTGCAGATTACCTCTGGAGAATCCGGACCGCAAGAAACTGTTGCCTGTAATACCCTGGTTCTGACGATCGTTTGTCCTACCGGGTTCCTTGCCACGACTTTATATATTCCGATATCATGCTCTTTTGTAGGATTAAAACTAAGTATAGATCTCCCGTCAGAGTCCTCTATCACTTTGATCCTATTGTTCTCTTGTATGACCATATCGTTTTTAAACCATTGTACCAATGGTTTCGGATTCCCTACAGCTAAACAAGTGAGATGCGCCGGCTTTCTCTCTTCGATCGGGCAAATCTGCGGCTTCTCGCGGAAGAACGGAGGTTGACCATCCTTCTTCGATTCGATCATCGCCTCAGCTTCAGCATAACTGTCTAACCGAGTACCTAGTTCATTTTTTAAACGTCTAAGCGTAAATGTGTCCGCCGATCCGTATCGATTGATGCGTGCTCTTCTTTCATCGTCGATTTCCTCATCCATAACATCCGTGAATCGTCGACGTTCTCGTATAATGGGTGCCTAATAATAGGATAAATAAATATTCTTAAATTAAAACAATATTCTTTTCTCATTTCAAATATACATATATAATAGTTTTTTATAGTTACCCTCCAATCAAAGCCGTTGTCTTCAGTAATAGAACGCGAGAAACCAGGGCTACGATTGCACGCAACTTTCATATATTCACGTAGTCGTACTGGAAAATCGGTATCTCTCAACTGAAGAAGATATGTATCCGGGCCGTTCTGATAGCTATAAAATATAAATAGAAAAGGAAAGAATTATAAGAAATTTATAATGTTATATAAAATACATTTCACAAGGAATTATATATAAGTTTATATGATTTAACATGTTTTTTATCAATTATTTAGATATTATTTATGGACATGCTATTCGAAATTTAATATTAAAAAAAAATATCATCAATCAGAATTTCTATTTTAAAAATCAAATTGGTTATATTTATCTTATAACGTCTGCTTACTGGCTTTCACTCTGAATTATTCCGATTTCTGTGTCAATTGGTTCTCTGGATGGTATTTGATTTTCCCATGTCCTAGGCGAACGTTTCTTCGGGCTGTGACTCTTGTCAGGTTCGGGTGTGAACTTATGTCCGGGTGGATATACCATTCGCGAAGGATCGTCAAATGCTGTCTCCAATTTTCTTCTACGATACCACGTGCGGCATGAAGCGTTGCTGTACCAATCGCTATAAAAATGTGTTTCATTCGTGATTAAAATAATAAATTATATTAATTTTGTAATAGAAGTATTAGTTTTATGAATTTTGTTGTGAAGCAAATTGATATTTTGATCGCATAATCCTTGTTTTCTCTATTAAAACTTTCTTAAAAAGAAAATAGTTACATCTACGGGATCTAATATATTATAAATAGTTACATTACGGAATTGTGCAAAATTAATTTCATGTAAATGTGTTGTTCAAAGATAATAGCTCACCGATAAAGTTTATAATAATTTTTCAAATTTTCGGAAGGTATCCTGTAGGGTTCTAGTGGCGAACTATCAATGTAATTAAACCATGGATGAGCCAAAGCAGCACTAACATCCATTCTTTTATCAATATTGTATACCAATAAGCTACGAATAAAATCTTGTGCTTCATTCGAGATATTTTTCCATCGATCATCGAAATCCCATTTGCCTTCTCTAATCTTCTTTAGCGTCTCTCTATCGTTTGCACCTCTAAACGGCGAAATACCCGATAGTAAAATGTAAGTAATTATGCCAACAGACCACATGTCTGCGCCATAACTAACGCCTTCATTATTAGTTACTTCCGGTGCAATGTATTCTGGCATACCGTACGCCAAGGTCATTAGTTTTGATTGCGAAATTCTGCGAGCTAGTCCGAAATCTCCGATTTTCAAATCATCTCCTCCAGCGTGGGAAACTAGTAGATCACCGAGCTACAAGAAAAAACATACTTAAACGTACTAATTTTAGCAAAAATAAGATTTCATGTAAAAGTAATAGATATCTATAAAACGGAATTTTATTATTATATTTAAATTCCAATTCTATGTTCGCTTTAAGCAATTTAAGTGATATAAAGAGAAATTGCACAAATCTCTCTCACTGATTAATTGATTTTTAAATAACTTACCGTCAGACCAAGATGTGCGTAATGATTTCCGTGCATATATTCCAATCCCCATAATAATTGACGTATGTAACGAGCGATATCTATTTCAGTATAATGTTCTTGTCTTGTTAGATTGTCCACTAATTCGCCACCGGCCGCTCTAAAGTATCATCATTAAGGATTGTTCTGCTGAATTTTCATCCAATCGTGTTACTTTGATACATTAAACAAATACAAAGTTATTATTAAAATTAATAATAATTTAATATATTAGGAAAAATATTTTATTTTAACATTTATCCTTCACATTTACACCACACATAATAAAAATAAAATATGGAAATAATAAAGGATACAACTCCATGACCAACGTAACCGAATTGTCCGTTTCAAAGGCATCGTGCAATCGTAATAATTTATGATGATGAAGGTTGTTCATTGCTTCCATTTCATTATACATGAATGGTTTGAGATCACCCCGTCCGTGCATAATCTTAGAAGCATAATTTCTTCCAGTACTCCGTTCAACTGCATGATAAGTCACACCCTGAGTACCGCGACCCAGCTCGTCACCCAGATCATACAAATCGTCAAATGGCCTATCGCGTAATTTCACATCCATCTTCTTCCTATATGTTCTATATCCATATTCATGCTCGCTCTCCTCCACGTGCAACATCACCGAGCAGGATATCGAGCCGGCCACATTACCCGCACTGATCGAGTAAAGGCCTTCATCCTTCACAATGGCATCATTGACAATGAGAGTTGTAATGTCGGGTTCGGTATACTGAACCTAATTAAAAAGATATCTTTTTAATTAAAATATCTTTAAATAAAGTTTCTAATTTAAAAGACAACAAATATAATCTTTTATTTAAAAATGCAATAAGATATTATTTTGCAGTAAAATTAGGAGGGAGAGGGAGGGGGGGGGGGGGAGAGAGAGACAATGCTTAATATAAATATAAACGGAAAATACTCTGATTCTGGAAGATGAAGCTATAGGTTTCCAGTCCTTGTACCACTTAAGCTCTGGATAAGGCACGCCAGTTATGCGAGCAGTCAATTGGCCGGTTCTTCTCATCATCACAATAGTCTCTTCGGGTCTTTCGATAAATGTGGGATACTCAGCGATTTTTAAAATAACTTTTTGCCTGGCCTCACCATGTTCATTTGTAGCGACGGCCTCATAAATGCCCTCGTCTCTCTCAAGCATTCTATTAATGAATAGCGTCGCCTGGCCATTTCTAGTGTAACTCTGATCGTATCGACCGCCCGATTCAATCAGTTGATCGTTAAAGTAATAGGTCATTTTTGGCTTGGGATAGCCATAGACAAACCAAAAGAGATTGCAGTTGTGATTTTTTACACCATACTGAGTGTCGTATTCCTGACGCAAAAATCTCGGTGCTTGTGCATAACCATCATGTGGAGGTCGCTCGATGTCAAAATCTTTCGGGAAGTAAGGACTAGTCTCCGGACGGAAGTCGATACCAGGAGGTAAATATGGGAAGAACTTGGGCGGTTCTGGTTCCAGTTTAGCGCGATATGTTTGCGCAAACGGCGATGGATCGCTTATGCCGTATTTGTTCTCCACGCGAATGCGGAACTTGTAATCGCGGAACGGTTCGAGATTGCGAATATCGCAAACGCAGCTGCGAATACCACTGCGAGCGGTAAACCAATCGCCATCTGGGAGTTCACACATTTCCACCAAATAAGTGACAGGTACTCGCGGCCCGATCGGGATGGATGGCTTCCATGAAAGAGTGAGATGTCGATCCATCATGCGGCTAATGATTGGACGGTCTGCCAGGGGCAACGGAATGCCGGACTTCTGGTATTTATCGTAATCCGCATACTGATCGGCAAGAGGTTTCTTTGCTCGTGGTTCCAAAGCTAAAATTGAAAAACATTGAAGTATAAAAACGACTTAAATATTAAAAAAAAATCTCGTAACATATATTCTCCAGTAAAGTTCACATTTACTTACACTCGTAAATCATCTCGGCGCTACACGAATCTTCACCATGAGGATTTGATATCTTCAGCACGTATTTTCCGGCATCCAGCTCGTCCACGTTAACTATCATGAGCCGCAACAAACTACCCTCCTGGTCCATTCTAATGCGATCAGTAGGCCAAATCCGGTCACCATTGCGATACCACTCGAAGTCAGGTTCCGGATATCCCGTGACGCACGCGGTGAATTTGGCCGGCATACCTCTGTAGATTTCACAATCGCCGATTCTCTTCAGGAATGTCGGTGGCTCAACTTTCTGCATTTTTTGGCTAAAATTACAGATATTACAAATATTACAGATGTTCTGCATTTTTTTGTTAAATATGTTTCTTTTGGTTATATATTTTTTAATTAATATATGTAGAACAGCTAAAAAATCCTTTTTCTTCAATAAAATCTTACATTTTATCGACTATAGCTAGATTTGCTGCGCATTCCGCCTCACCACCCTTGTTAACTGCTTTACATCTGTATCGTCCTGAATCATCGTATGCACAATCCTTCACATACAGACAGCAGGCATCACCATCGCGTTTCATTTTGTATTTGTCGTTGTCTTTTAAAATTGGTTCGTCATTAAAATACCAGGTCACTTCCGGTTGTGGTATGCCAGTTACGCGGGCCGGGAACTTGGCGTCAAACGTGGGCAGCTGCTGTAAGTCCGTAAACTTTTGTGTGAAGGTTGGCGATTGATACACTTTGCGAACGATGGCATTTGCGCTGATGGTATCTTCACCCAATGGATTGCTTAGTTGACAGCCATAGATGCCTGCGTCTTTGGGCTTGCACGGATCAATTTGTAGACCGACCTTCTTCCCATCGCAGCTAGTCGTTACACGTTCTGATGGCTCAATCGATTCACCATCTTTCGTCCAATTCACATTGGGGATTGGATTGCCGACAAATGATACATCTAGCGTTAATGGCTGACCCTCCTCGACGGATACATCGCGCATGGGACTGATAAATGCCGGCTTTTCTTCCGGTGTGTCTGGTCTCACCTTGCCAGCAACGTCCAGCTTAGCTTTGCAGGACGCAGTGCCTTCCGTGTTGCCAGCTACTACCTGATACACGCCGATGTCTTCTGGCATTGCTTTATCGAGTATCAGAGCTTGACTACCATCTGGTTGATTGACAATCTTTACGTGTTTATTGTCTGGAATAATCTGAAAAAAAATAATTTAATTATAAGCATCATATATATTTTTGAAAAATAAATAAATATGTTAATTTGAGAAATATATTAATATTAATATTATCATATTAACTTCTTCATCATTTCGTAGCCATTTGAGTTCGGGCGTTGGTTTTCCTATAGTCTTCACTTCCATCTTTACTGGGAAACCTTCGACAACGGTTTGTGGTTGAAGACTCGCGACAAATTCTGGTCTCTTCTCTCGTTCCTCCACTTCTACCTTAGCCGTACCCGTGATTTCACCGAGTGCATTGGATACAGTCACCGAGTAAGTTCCTGCGTCTTCTGGACGTACATAATCCATTTTCAATCCAATAAGACCGTTTGGCTCGTTCGTAAAATACATTTCCTTTGTATGTCTTAATGGTATTCCATCTTTGAACCATTGCACCTGCGGATTTGGAAATGCTAGGATTTGAGCTTCCAATTTCAATGGTTGCCCAACTACCGCTTTTACATCTTCCAATGGCTTCGTGAACAATGGTCTCCTTCGTTCAGCTGTAATGAACGCAAATTTTATATTAAAATAGTGATTGTATTATATAAATATTGTAATGCAAAGATTTGATACAGAAAAAATAAAATTTACTTACGCGTGACAGCGACGGCGCAAAGCGAAGAATTCTCACCGCTGGAATTTGTAACCACAAGCTTGTAGGCACCACAATCGGTAGGCTTTACCACATCAATCGTAAGCTTTGTAGTACCGTCCGGCAACATACTGATCTTCACATGATCATCTGGCGTGATTTTTTCGCCGTCCTTGAACCAAGCGATGTTGGGTATCGGACTACCATCTACCTTGGCCTTCAGCTCTAGAGGCTCGCCCTCGTCAACTTCCGCCGATCTTGGTAATGCCTTACCAAACGAAGGAACGGTCAATGTCATGGATAAGTCGCAGTTGGTTTGCACGCTTCCAGCGACATTACTCGCTTTACATGTTATTGTACCGATATCTTTTGCACAGAAGGTTTTGATGGAAAGATTACTGTCCACTATGCCGTCCACGTGAGTCGTCACCTGATATCTTTCTTCCTTGATAATCTCACCGTTCTTCAACCATTCTACACTAGGCCTCGGAATGCCAGTTGCGCGTATCTTCAATTCAACGTCCTCACGATCGCTACATTGCATTTTCGACAAATTCTTCAAGAAGACTGGAGCTTCAGCTATAGAGAATGCAAATGTGTTTTATTCCAAATTACTTTAATCCATTCAAACAAAAATATTTACGAAATATTTTTTTCACTTTTCATTGTTTATGTGTGTTATGTCCGTTTAAAAGTTTGATTTACTTACTGTGAGGTGTGAGAGTAGCTTGAGCACTTGCTTCACCTAAATAATTCTTTGCCACAACAGTATAGATGCCTTTATCTTCTAGACTGAGCTTCTTAATGATGAGTTTATATTTGCAATTTCTCTTATCTTCTTCCATGTCATACCGTTCGTCTTTCTGCAGCTCTATATCGTTTTTCATCCATTTAATATCGGGTTTCGGATTTCCTTTGATAACAGCTTGCCATTCAACTCGCTCGTCAACTGATTCAGTATGATCTCTAAAGCTGTCAATTTCCGGTTTCAATAAAAGACTCAAGAATGCCTAAAAGAGTAAAAATCTTATTAATTATTAAATGCGTTCTTTTATATTTTGTGATCATTTGTTACTCTATATTCAGCTACTTACGCTACTTTCAGCTTCCCCCCATTTATTCTTTAATTTCAAAGTATATTCTCCAGTATCTTCTTTAGTACATTTTGGTATTTTCAATGTGACTTTACTTTCTGTCAATTTATCCGCTGCCGGTCCGTTAGTAATAGTCCCCTTAATTCTAGAATCATCAGGCGGAATTTCGTTGCCTTTGTAGTACCTGAAAAAATATATTTACATACAAAATAATATTTTTCTATTTAAACACAATACATAATTTTGATAATATATATGGAACATTCAACGGGGACAAGTGTCTGGATAAAATTTGTGAAGTCGAAATAAGATGTTCAAGGGCTTAAAATTTTCATTTTTATATATAGTTTAAGGAAAAACGTGGCATTTTTAAAAATTCAAAGCGGCTGCTCCAATATGGCGGTTAGAATAAATAAAAAACTTATGGAAATTGAATGAATTTTGGACCACTTGATCAATGAAATAAATGTTTTCAATAATATTTCTATAAGTTTTTTATTCGTTCTATATTGGAGCAGCCGTTTTGAATTTTTAAAAACGTCACGTTTTTTCTTAAACTATGTATATATAAAAACGAAAATTTTAAGCCCTTGAACATCTTATTTCGACTTCACAAATTTTGCTCGGACACTTTTTGACGTGGAACGTCTCGTATATAAATATATTTTTTAAGAGATAGAATAGACTTATAAAAACTGAAAAGAAAAATGGAAAGAAGAATAAAATATCTTCTCTTATTTTTCATCGTGTTTTAATATTTATACATATTTTAAATCTTTTTACATAAATAAAATCCTATGTTTACTGAACATCTCGTAGAGTATATGATATAATACTGTAAATATATACCATGTAACATCCGGGATCGGATCGGCTGTAAAGACAGCTTTAAATTCGCCGTTAGTCTCAAAGGCAACATCGACATCGCTGAGAGGTTCGGTAAATCTCGGTTTCCGGAGCTCGTCGACAGTTCCGATAGTCAAATAACCATCTACGACTTCTTCGCCCAATTTATTGGTCAAAACGCACGAGTAAAGACCTTCGTCTTCGAGAGTGGCCTTACTGAGATCCATCTCGTATGATTCCCCGGAAGTCGTGATTCTCACCCGTTCCCCGGATCGAAGAGCCTTACCATCTTTAAGCCATTTTACGTCTGGTCTTGGTAAACCAGTGGCCTTCACTTCGAATTTCGTGTTCTGTGTCTCGAAGATCATTTTATCGGTGAGATTTGTGCTCACGACGTGAGGCGGAGCTGCGAGGAAAAATATGTGAATAAGCTATTATTTATTTAAAAAATTTATTTTGCAAGGAACATGCCTTGTTTAAACAAACTCTTCCTTTTATCAGTAATAAATTGGGAGTTACAGAATGTATCAGTTATGAGAGAGAGAAAGAGACTGACCAAAGAACTTAATTGTTATGCAATCAAAGTTTTTTTGCAACGAACACTATTATAATATATTTTAATATATAAAAATAGTTACGTTATAAATTTTATTTCGTGCGTGTCACATTGCATCTTTTTTATATCAACCTTAATTTTAAAACATTTAATTAACTTTATACATAACATAATTAAAATGAACTATTTAAAATTAATATAATAAGAATATTATTAAAATTATATCAATAATAAATTATTTTAAAATTTATATAAATTAAAAAAACACTATTATGTTTTCTTTTAAAAAAATATGTGCAAATATAAATCTAAATGCAATTACATCTATTTCTTAATTCATTATCTTTATTTCTATTGAGTTGTTTATTCTTTTAATTAATATACTTACCTAGAAGCTCTTGGTTAAACAGGTGCTCAGAAAATCGCATAGTGAAGATTATACAAAATTAACTATCGTATTTTAGATTAAAAGCCACAACCTTACCTCAATATTTCTTTTAAATTGGTGAAGAGTAATGCTGTAAAAATCGAAATTCCAAAAATACAGACAGCTAATATTGTGCATGGAAACATAAATATGAATATCATTAATCATATTTCAAATAAAAGTTATCATTATATTAATAGATTATAAATATTAAGAAAAAGAGATCAGATAAGTGTGTGTGTGTGTGTGTGTTTTTCTAAAAATTATAAATATATTCTTGTAACCAAATATCGATGAGAATATGCCGTAACGGTTAAGTTGGATCTTGGATGCTTCTAATATATGATATAATTTCTTGTGAATTTATATACTACGTATGTTATAGATTCTTAATGCGCACCGAAATTTTTTTCAGACTTACAACGCGCAAACTCTAATAAACTACCGCAGTATCGTACTATCACGAATTAAATTGATTAACAATTTAACAATTTTAGCTCAGATGCTCATAGCATTTTGTATATTAATAAGTTGAATAGCATATTAAAATCTATGAATGACATATTAGAAATCTGTAAATAATTAATTTATATTGTGAAAAATATCGTAATTACACGAAATTATATATTAGAAGCATCCAGCTTAATCGTTACGGCATGTTCTCGTCGATATTTGATTTTAAACTCTCCACGGTCCAATAAAATTTGATATTCTTGTAAGTTCTCTTATTGATAAACTTTCTATTATTTATTTAGATATTTATATTTCCATATGCAAGCATGCGAATGTTATACGAATAAAGTTGTGAGAGCAACATATATGTGCGAAAGAAAGGAAAAAATAAGTTAATTAGCGAGATATGAGTCTATTAGTCATAGGTAGAGATGGTGCAACAATATGTTTTTCGACGAATCGTAGTGCTGAGAGATTAGAGTTAACTGCTAAAGTTACCGATAGAACCTCACGATCGTACCTGACTCTTTGCCTGATTCTTTATCGAGAATTTCATCTAATACGCTACGTTGCCGTTTAACTCGAGCCAAAAGGTCCTTCATCTCCTTATCGATTTCCTCGCCATCATCATCATCATCAAGCTGTGCTTTCTGTCTCAATAGCGTTTCACTTGACATCAACGAAGCTTCTGTTTTCTCGAGCTTTACAGTTTCTTTCGATAATTCGACAGCTGAGTTTGGTTGATCTAAAGTTTTCTCCGTGACCTTTTTCACCGGACTTATATCACTAATTATAGAATTTTGACTGAGCAAGTTTACTGTCTTCATATCAAGACTTTCTCGCTTCAAAATTTGATTCGATAATGTCGCCGATAACGGTTCTTCCAAGGATCGCTCCTCAGCGATGGTTTCGGTGATCCTGGAGATTCTATGTGATTTAATATCCTCCAAAGTTTTCTGTCCTTCTAGCCTTCCACTAAAGGAAAGCTCATCAAGAATACCATCCATTGTTTTCTGATCCTCCGGGAGTTGATCAGTTGATTGGACGTCCTCCGTGCTGACGTCTCGTGATAGTGCTTTCAAAGTCGATTCGTCGTCGGAAACAGAGACAATTGTAACGCCTTGAGTAACACCTAAATTTGGTTTCTTCTCTTCAGTTTCGGAGAATTCTTCGATCAGTACACCGTTTTGTGGTTTAGAATTCTCTTCTTGTATGTAAGCATAAGAAGCGATTTCTTCAACGCGAGGTCCTGAATTAACACCGAATTCCCGACATTCGACTTTGGTTGCCGTCATCTTGCTGATTGTGTGACTTTCACCAGGACCTGCGAATGGTCTAATCTAATATCTTCGACTACCAGCATCCCGCGTACAATTACGCATGACATATATCTTTCATATCTTTAGAAATGACCTCTTTGTACCGTTACTAGCTGTGATCATTATATATAAAGCTGTTCCCATAAATTGCACGCTTCTTATTTCAATCACACAATGTATATTGTAATATGTCAAATAGAAAGACGCACGCGTTGAACTATGTTAAAAATAGATGATGATAAAAATTTTGAGCAAAACTATTTTTAAGTCTAAGGATTTAATTTTCAGGAAAGGCATTACAGTTTCGTGTTTCCTATTTGTTTGTGTAATTGTTAGTTATTAGAATATTCAAACAACATAAATGTTTAAAAGACTTTATAGAATTCTAAAGGGCGTCTTTTAAATTTATGTTGATTGGATATTTGGTTGAACGATAATGTATGAGATATAAGTAAGATTACCTGTAAGTATAGCTTCATGTGATGTCGTGGAGGCCACAGAGATCGTGATTGTTTCATTGTCCCCTTGAATTACTTGGATGTTTTGTTTTCCCGGTTTGACACGACCTAAATTTATCAGATATTGTTTCTACCGCCAAATGACTTTTAACCATATACCTTCTCGATATTGCTAAGTTACGTAGCGTGTATGCGTGCGTATTGCGTGATAAATTACAATACATAATGCAATCACACAAATATATCTAATTTATTAGAATCGGTACTGTACACGCTTAAACAAACTTTCAAAAAACGATCGACAACAAAGTGACTTCTGTCTCTAATCATCAATTCTGATAACTCAATAAAGATATGTGCGAAAAAGAAAAATCAAACAAGTTTCAAAAATCCATATGTTGCAAAAATGTAATTGGTTCTAGCATGCACTGTTTTCTAATACTAATTATCTAAAATACGTTTCGATTTTAAAATAAAAGTGTTTTTTTCTAGAAAGAAACTTCGCAAAGAAACTCTTATCGAAGCGTGCGATGCTCTTGTAGTTGTCAAAGCGTTGTAGCGTTTCAAATGAAGCAAAGTCAAGACTTCACGTTTCTCTTGGATTCTAATTGAGCTAATCAAGTTAGCGCACATGATTACCTTCTGATTCCGACTTTTCGGCGTACAAAGTCTCTTCCTGTGGCAATTTTATCAATTTTTTCGTCTGGGTTTCTTCCATCTTCACCTCCTCGGCTTTTTCTTTCGGCGATTTTATCTTCTTATCTTCCGTTTCAGCTACAGAAGTACATTTTTTCGAGTCTTTGTCATAACGTGTTTCAAAACGCGATATGTCAACTCGTTATGTTACTTAGAGATTCAAAAAAATAAAAAAAAGATGTCGAATAAATTTCTCAGAGCACCACAAAATCAATTGTATGATAATCTACAAATGAATTAATAAGAATACAGAAAGAAAAAACAGAGAACACATTTTGCGTCAACGTCAATAATATGTGACGCGTCGAAAATGATGTTCCTCCCTTTCGTTTAAGGAAATCAGGAGAATTCTTTCTACACACACAGATTTTTTACACAGAAACTATGAGAAAAAATCTGTCGATTGAACCTCGTCCCTAAAGGCCGTTTTTGTAAAAATTCCCAAAATGTCATATCGGCAGAATAAAATAAAAAGGGAATTATACGGTTTTATTTATACAATTAATACTTACGCGAGTACTGAATGCTGTCAAAATGACGACTTTATCACTGCGATTTCTCAAAAATTAGAAATATTTATTGCTGTACCGTTCCAACAAATGTCATGATATCAGCTTTCGTAAGATTTTCTTAACTCTACTAAAATTATCCTCGCGATTAACTCTAGAACTCGATTATAATATCAAATACGACCTTTCTCTTCAAAAGAAATATATTGATATTCCGTAATAAATTACAATACAAACTTTAAAAAAATGCAAATTATTTTTGAAGTACAATTATTTGTTATCATAAATGTCATATTAATATTATTTCGTTATTATATATAAATTTGTTCCAAATTTGATAATTCGTGACATAACAACTTTTTTAGTCAAACTTAGATTTGCGTCGAAGAAACTCAAGTTCTAGAGTTAGGAAAAGAAAATAAAAAGGTGCGAGAACTTACTCAACACGATGACTTTACTCTTGCTGGTAACGTAACCCAACTCGTTTTCTGCCCGAACCTCGTACAAGCCGCCATCGCTACCCTTTAGCAACGTCACCGTTAAATCATAGCTCTCACTTCGTTGACTGTCTCTAGTGATTTTAATTCTGGCATCTGCCGTCACTTCCTCGCCATCCTTGTACCATTTGACTTCCGGATCCGGCGTGCCGGACACTTCAAATGTCAACTTCAGCGTTTCACCTTCTTTTAACCTTTGATCTGCTAATTTCTTCAAAAGCTTTGGCCGAGTATTTACTGTCAAGTTGGAACTACTCGAGTTTTCGCCATATTCATTCTGCACCTTACAAGTATAATGACCCTTCAACTCGGTTTTCACTTCTTTAATAATGAGCTTGTAATTGTCACCTTCTTCTACACGAGTATACTCTGTGCGCTTCTCTGTGATTTCAACATCGCCCAGAAACCAATGCACACTTGGCTTCGGAAAGCCTTCAACTTCAACCACAAATTCGATGTTTAACTCTCCTTCGTTTGCACTGATGTCGCACAATTTCGTCTTGAACCTCGGTATACCGCGTACCTATAATAATATCGCAAATATATTAGAATTAAAAAATTAAAATAATAATTACAGAATTTTTTAATTGTAAGAAATAGACTTTAGTTAAGTAAAATATAAAATATTATTTTCAAAATATACTTTAGATTCAAGGATCAGATTATATACCCTGATTCTCGTCTCGTCCGAAATTGTTCCATGCTTATTCACCACTTCGGCTTTATAAATCGCTGCATCTTCTACTTTTGCACTACTGACTGTAAGTATATAATTGTTTCCATTTTTCGTCATCTTCACGCGATCGCTCGCGGTCAACAGCTGTCCATCTTTGTACCAGTTGATTGTTGGTTCTCCATCAGACTCTACCTCAATCAAGAGATTCAATGTGTCGCCTTCGTTAATTACTCGTGGCTCGCCCAGTCCTTTCTTAATTTTTGGCGGGCATCTGATACCGACCTTCCAGATCTCAGTTGTCTGATTGATTTCATTTCGTGCAACAATCGAATATGAACCAGCATCAGTCAATTTGGCATTTTTTATTACAAGCTTGTATGTGTCGCTGTTCTCCTTAATGATCTTAATACGATTGCTCTCTTCAATCAACTGACCGTCCTTGTACCAAGTTACTTCCGGTGCCGGAGTAGCCTCCACTTGCACAGTCATTGTGCCTGTCTCCTCAATCATAATCATCATGTCAGACTGTTTCTTCGTGATCTTTGGTGCAGATTTCACAATCAGTTCGATCTGTGTACTGTCTTCTCCGAGATCGTTCTTTGCCTTGATGGTATAAACTCCGGCGTCTTTAGCAGTAACTTGTTTAATCACCAATGATAAGGATTCCTCATCTTCCCAAAGATACTTGATTCTACCACCAGCTATGATCTCCTGACCATCCTTGGTCCATTTGATGTCCGGCTTGGGATATCCTTTTACCTGCAGATCCAACATTGCAGAACCACCAGCGCTCACCTCGGATTGCTTTGAATCTGTCTGAAGTTTTGGTTTTTCTGGATCTTTCAATAATTGATTCACAGCACCCTGCACTGTCAGCTCCGCACTGCAGCTAATATTACCTACATATTCAAGAATTTGTATAAATTAACATATTAATATAATATATGAAATGCGACAGCAATATTAAATTAATATTAATTATTACAATATAATTTTTACCTGTACTGGTTTGCGCTACGCACGTGTAAAGACCGGCGTCCTCGGGTTTCACATGTTGGAACACCAATGCCAGAGTGTCTTCGTTATCTTTAAAGAGAACTTTAAATCTCTCCTCAGGATCAAACGCCTGTCCATCACGCGTCCAAATAAATCGAGGCTCGGTTCCAAGCTCAAGCAGACCTTCGGGAAGCCCTTGAAAAAGTGGCTTTTCATCTGTCACTGTCACCACCGCTTCGCACGTGGCTTCGCCATAGCGATTCATAGCTGTGCATGAATACTTTCCAGCATCCTGCTTCTGAACATCAGCAATCACTAATTCATAAAAACCCTTTTCGGCGTTGTCTCGAATAATCTTCACACGTTCATGCTTCGCGTTAATCAAGATACTGTCCTTGAAGCTAAAAAAAAAATGTGCGTTAATGTGTAAATTTTTCGCAAACAATAGACATTTGAAAGAGGTGTTTCACAAACACTTTTCTAATGTTTTTTGCACATCTTTTAAATTTTTGTTATGTAACTTGATAAATAGGCAAATAGAGCATTTTTATATTAAAGAAAGTTTGAAACTTACAATTTTATTTCTGGATTAGGATCCCCTTTAACTTTAATCATAAAACGTAGGTAGGTATTCTCAAGGAGTTCGGTATCCTTTAGGCGTACCAAGAATATAGGAGAGTTTGCTTCTGCTCTTGCCTTTTTCTCTTCCGGACTCACTGCAGTATTTTACATCAATAAAAAAAAAATTATTTAACGTATTTAGAAGTAACATCATAACATTATTACTTACATTGTTGAACCACTAATTGAGCAGTACATGTTGCTTCACCGTTTGCATTCAGAGCACGTGCTATGTATATGCCGGAATCTGATTCGTGAACGTTCTGAATCTCAAGCTTGCATATATTGTCAGTCAGTGTAGTAGTAACGCGATCAGCTAACTTGTCCTCCATCGGTTTGTTATCCTTCAACCATTGTATCCTTACGGTCGGATCGCTAGTTAACATCGTGCACTCAAAAGTGGCAACTTCTCCGGCTATAAAAGACAACTCGAATTAGAGCAAAGTAACGACGCGTTGTAATTCTGAAAGAAATGAGAATGGTGTGAGAAACGAATCCATCAAGTCCAATACAATTGTCCTGTATCTAAAATACTACAAAATATAGCGTCGTACATTATAATTTACGTGATTTCTTTACGTTATCATTAAAATAGGAAGGAATGTAAAAATTATTCCAAAATGGATTTAATATAGTTATTAAATGTGCCCAGTACAACCTATGATCTGACTACATGTGCATATAATTGAATGTGATTGACACATAACACTGACTTTGACTTCGTAATTCATGGAAATATGAATGTGCATCAGCAAATCACATGTGTGCATAACAAATTTTTAGATGTAAAATATATATCAAAAAATATCGTCTAATAACAAAAAATTCATTTGCTATAAAAAACTTCGCTGAAAATATAATATACATATACAAAGATATGTATTATGTTCTAAACAAATGCTTCATGTCGCTTTACTATCTATAAAAATTGATTGAAGAAGCAATATAGTGTGTGAATTGTGAAGATATGTCAATGTAAATGTTCATAAATGTTGATATGTGTGTGTGATATTGATATCAAAGTAACATCAGCGTAGTGTAACTGTTTAGTGTAAATGTTGTGTATAGCAAACATCCATAGTTTAGCAGTATAAAGCGTGTTTAACCAGCAATGTAATATTACATCTAAAAGCAATTTGCTCTATTAGCTGTAAGAAGAACACAAAAAGATATGGAAGAAATATAGAGAACAGTGAACGCTGATAAACTAAGCAAGTACGTGTCACTTTACCTATAGCGTGTATCAATGCCTTTTTTGGTTGCATCGCTAAAACAGTAAAAATGTATCTTACATCTTGTGATAATCGAAAAGAAAAATGTATGTATTATTCCTAGCCCTAATTATTTAATGTTACTTTTGTACACCCTGGTTATTAATTAACAATAATATGATAACGATTCAAAGATTTAATGTCGTATATACTTACGTTCTACATTGCATCCTTCTATTGTCTTGATAAACACCGGTTTATTAACATCAGTGTCAAGAGTGATTTTGGCAGTTCTGCTTTCGACATTCGAATCCGTTGTTCTACCACCAGCAATCGCAGTCTCGTAGGAAGTCATGGTTTCCGATATCTGACCCACTCCTTGCGATGAGGACATTCTCGTCTCCATGGCGGATGCCGCCGATTCCATGTACGAGGACGCGCCATTACGACTGCTTGATATCGATGAATACTCTACAGAGGTATTAGTTGGAAACTATATCTTACTACTTGACATATAGTATGTCCATTGGTTTCGAATTAAGAAACTTAAAATTATTTTTTATTTTTCAATACTATACTTGAGCAAAATGCGGTATTTACCGGTGTTTTATCAAAAGAAATAACTCAAGAAGACAATCTATTAATATGTAAAAAAATTATTCTCAATATTCTTGAATTTGACATGTAAATATAAATATAGTGATATATAATAAGCGTTTGCAACTACACATACATTCGACGCAACATTGATTTGCACTGTCAACTTTAACAATTAAGCTTCTGCATGCGACATCAAATTACAACGAAAGATTTTCGGCGAGTTTGATACAAGTATCAATAAGCTCTTACCTTCCACGACCTTTGAAGAGGCGCTGTATCGACTAGCGGAATATCTTCGAGACATGTCTGCTTGCTCTTCAATCTTAGCCTTCTTTATTTCCGATGTGTCGGTCGTGTTCACGGACTCCTTTCTCTTCTGCACAACTTCCGTGGATTCTTTAGTCGCGTCTACTTTTGGTGGACCCGGATTTCCTTCTATCTTCGTTGGATTACTCTGAGCTTTAAGCAATCCTGGATTCACTTGAGATGGTTCGATTTTCACCAATACCGGTTTTTCGTCGCTCCTGAGTTCTTCCTTGCCTTCTGGTACTTCTTCGGTTACTTGAAGATCATCCGCTGCATGTTCGGCGAGAGCGACCAAATCACTGGCGTATTGACGGATTTCTTTGAGCCAGTAAGCCTTCACGGGGTCTTTATGAGCTATTAAAGTGATGGGGTAATTGGATACAGTTGGATTATGTAATTCAAAAGATCGTATATTATCGGGATGATCCTTCACTTCTACTTCCGGTAACTAAAACAAAATGATTAAATTTATTATATTATTTTACATGCGTCTATTGTAAATATATTATCTAAAACCTCACTTACTCGAATAATTTCCTTTAAGATAAAAACTGATCTATCCTCCGATATTCGTCTGACTTTACAAATGAGAATTCGTGCTTTGAATAGGAATAAGTATCTTTCTTTGCTCTTTCCTTCTTTATCAATAACTGTGTACCATTCCTAAAAACATATTATATAACGTAATTAAAAATAATTTTTTTGCACTTTTTATTTACTTATTTTATTTACAATAATTTACTTATTATCTTTTAATACACATATGCTTACATGTGTGAGTAATCTACCAAGTTTGTGAATATTCCCTTTGTATCCTTCGATATTACTTATGAATTTATTATCAATTGCTCTATGAGGAATTCCTAGCATCAATTCTAGCGCCTTTTGTAGATCGTCGCAGTTTTCACCTAATCGGGTCGAATACTTCACCAGTTCCTGCAAACAATATCCTGCGTAAATAGTTTATTTTTCTTTGTACAAATGGATTATTTTATGACAGATTAAACCAAAAAAAGATTTGCCTCAATCCGCCTACGATTGCACGAATTTTACGCAACGTCGCGACTGTTATCCTTGGACCGAATTAACTTGTATCGTATATTTCAATACGATTATTAACGTCGCAATTTTCTTGCACCTGTCTCATGTTTTTTGCTAGAATTTTTTCATAAAGCTAAATCGTGTCTCGGTAGTTATTAATCTACTATATAGACAAACACGCATTTTTAGCTCGCTAAATCGGTACAACGCCCACACATTCATACAAAACAAGCGCAAAATGTTCTATAATTCGTTTTTATATAGCGAGCTCAGATTTATTGAAACCCATATTCTTCGACAAATTGGACGACGACTTTTCAGCAGATACATTTCCAGTATTTATATATACAATAGTTACAAAGATATTTTATACTAAAGTGCGATAGAATTTTAATTGCGAGAATTGGAAAGAATTTCGTAACAGAGAAAATCATACGATTATATTCAGTTATGTTCTAAATTTAGCAAACCTGTTGATGTCGACGAAGTAATAATTGAGTTTTATTTTAAACTTCTGGCTAATGTTTACTATGCGTATTTTAAAATACATAGTCGTTAGAGCGGCGACGATCTGCAGTGATACTATCAACAAATAATGTATAGGCCAAAAACTATTAATTGCGGTTTCTTGTTCAAGATGTAGAAGTTACTACCTTGATGTTTATTTTTTTGGGCAATTGGCCCACTTGCTAATAAAATTAATCTACTTGGCTTCAACAAATATCACAATTAATGAATACTGTCTGAAATGTTTGAAAAATCTTAATATGTAATTTAGTAGATTTAAAAAGCCTCTATATTTATTTAAAAAAGAAATACAAACAGGATATCTGTTAATATCGGTTAAATTAATTTTACTTTAAAAGTTAGTGAGAAATCGTTTATTTTGTATGATTTAAAATGATATAAACAGTTCGCGCCTCTTTAACTGTCAATTTATATATCTTGAATGAACGACTGTAATAATTATATCAAGAAAATACGATTTCAAGGCAAAGTAGAAAGCGCTTTAGCGCCGTGCTATTTCCGTCGGGCGCAATAAAATTTGGGCGGAAATATAGGTCGTGCTGTATATTTGTGCATTCGGTTGTCTGGTATTATTGTCTTGATTTCTCATCAACTAAAAAAGTATATATTAAACATTCGTGTTATCCATTTTTTACAGATGTTTTTCAAACTAGATAATAAATTAATAATAAGTCATTGTAGTTGTTACAAGTATTAGTATAATAAGATAAATTATAAAATTTTTATTATAACTTTGCAATGAAATAAAAATAAAACGTTATCCTACCTTTAATAGGAGCTGGTAGTCGTTTATGCGTTGTATCGGGAGCTTCAAATGTTCTGATATACTCTTGTCGTCACTCAGAGTCTGACTCAACTCCTGTAAGAAACGAAATGATAGCACGAATTCTTAGTTTTATCACAATGTCGTATATAAATTTATATTTAGAATAAATTTTAAATATAAAAAATTTTACATAAAATTAAAATTATATTAGTAAATTCAATTAAGTCTTAGTTTTTTTTTCACTAAAATTCCTAAGAGTCTTTCTTCATTATTTTTATGCATCTATGCGATCTCTCAGACTACATTTTTCTATTTACAGTCTTTCCTTAGATATCAAATTTAAAATTTTCTTGCACATACACCAATGTCAATATTTCCGGAGCTATCTACTTTAAGAAGTGTAATTTCCAATTAGAGCGATTAGAGATTAAAGAACCGATAAATCACAATACATTCTCAGTAAACGAAATAGATATTTCATTTAAGGTAGTTCTCGCGTCTCAATGAAGAAATTATCGGACACCGTAATTCGACACCAAAAAGATCTGGCATGAATATATGTATTTTTGGATGTGTGACTGAATTTTGCATGCAAAGGCGAGTGTGTGTCACCCCCGCAGAGAACGTAGGTCACAGAGTTAGCATGTTGAGATGACGACGACGCACGATTGACGTATCGCAAGCGCATCGCCACGCTTTACGACTTTTGGAGAACGGAGAACGTAGAACTGCATATTACTGTCGGACGCGCACCTTCAACAAGGAGAGAACACCCTGATTTCGTTATCGAGGTCGAGGTATTTCGTCAAAGTACGGTCGTCGCGTGGCTCGCAGATGTACTGCACACATAGGAGTCCTGATCAAATTCAGTGAATCGCGCGGAGATTCTCACACACAGACGATGTGGTGGTCAGTGGTCTACGACACTGAGGAGGAATCTTCGGGTGCTCCAAACTGCTGCCATAGTATAGTCGGAAGACCAATACGGTAACGGCTATACTTAGACGCCGGACGATTTCGTGTACGACTGACCACGCGCGAAAACAACACGAAGATTGCGCGAATCATCGATACACTTCATCCCGCGATCCATTCTCTTTGCATTTTTTACACAGCAGTCGAGCAATCTATTTCACTCTCTAGTGGATGTAAAGGACACATAAGAATTTGTAGATGAAAGAATCTGAAATGTCTTCCTCAATTAAAATAATTTTTTAGGAGAGAATTTGCATCTCATTAAGAACAAAATTAATTTTTTGGTCCAATAGATGATATAATATAAAAGGACAGTTTTATATTAAATCAAAGACTGCAAATTATAAAGATATAAATTTAAAAATAGATATTTATGAATTTATAACAAAATATATTTAATGAGGAACTATAACATTTATGTTCTATATTCTATAGTATGCATTATGGAATAATATATCGTGTTAATATGTCATGTTTTATACGATATTGTCGTATCTTAAATCTTGATGAAAACGTATTTTTCCGAAAGCATCTCGATACTATCAGTCGTAGGTAAGAGAAGCGAAAGATGTTCCGGCCGTTAAGAATAAACTCAGCTATTTTGAGGGCTGGACACACGCCCGCATATCCCCCGCGTGTTATATAATTACATCATTTTCTTCAATCCATACCGCTGAAGCAATCGAACATGGATTTCCAGTGAAAGTTCGCAACGTATGTGACGCATTAAAATGCCAAATAAAAGGATATTTATAATATGATGTTTTAGAATAGTTAGTATATGGTATGGTACGGGTTAAAAGCTTTAAAAAGATATTAATAGATAATAAACAATTTACAGAAAATAATTTTTAAGACATTATATATATACTACACAATATATTTAAATATATACGTAGTATCTATATCTTTATTTTATTATTTTAGTAATACGATATTTGATTTTGCGCATTTAAATGTAAATATATCTTAATTTAGTAATTTTAGAAAAATGAAATATTAATTTGCGATCACATTTAATCATGATTTTTACATTATTAATGCCAATTCGTTAGTGTATTTATAGTTCTAATTTCTCTCTCATTACGTATGCTAATTTAATTTGGAAACTGAATTTTGTATTTTTCGCTAATTAAGTAATGAATTGTTGATTAAAAGCGACAATTTATTAACAAATTAACTTAAGAAATAAATTTCTACAATAATAATAATAATATGTAATAAAACGCAACTTGCCTCGAAATATTCGCGTACTTCGTCGTTTGTCTGAAGAAATTCTTGAGCAGCGGGCTCGTCTCTGCAATACGCTACGTGCTTGTCAAAGTCTCTCTCCTGAAGTAGAATAGCATCTCATTGTAATTAACTATTTGATTCAAACGTTATGTAATGTGTAATAAACTAATTTAGACGTAATCTCCTTACGGACTTAAAATTCAAAACTATAAACTCCAGTAATTAAGGGCGAATGAGAGTACAGCGTTGTTAATGGTACACACAGTAATAAGAAGTGAGTTTCTATAAATTATTACTTTATTCCATTGAAATAACAAATTTAAGCTGTACTCTTATTCATCCTTCATTACTGGAGTTTATAGTAGTGTATAATAAATTGATTCCTCGATATTGTTTGTTCATAGAAACTTCTATTTTATTCTGTATATAATATACTTTCACGAAATGCAATTGTCATATGTCAAAAATTTTACTATTGCATTTCATCTTACGCTTTTGCATAAAGAATTACAATTAGAAAATAATTATAAAAATAATCAGAAATTATTTTAACTAATATGAACAAAATTATTTTAATAATAAATATTACTAGTGAGTCACTTACCAGTCTTAAGAAAGTTTTGCCAAGCATACGTGGTTGATCCGCATAGTACTTGACACCCTCGATCAACACCCTGCCGAACGATCTAAGTAAGGCCGGAATTAATTATCATGCCAAAGTCACACCACGCCTAACATGCTACGGAATGGAAGTCTATGTCATCTTCAGAGTGAGCACGCTTTACTTAGGAGCGATACGTAATGCAAGGTAATTCCAAAAATGTGGCATATTTTAGTTGTCAGTATTATTTACTGATCTATAAAGGGTAAAAACGAATCTTATGGGTTCTTATGGAGAAATTAGAATTTAATTTTATCTCAGATTAAAACAGCAAGATTAACATCGATAGGCGTTGATAAATTAACATAGGTTGAGTTAGTGACGTAATCAATACAAAATTCACTTAATATTGCATCAATATCGTAATCTTTTAAAGTGGATTAGAAATACCTATGTTTACTTCAAGCTTATATAGTTTTATAGTAACATTTTTATAGTAACGTTGATTTGTTACATCAATCAAATCATGTGTAACGTTAAAGAGGGCATTATGGTCAAATTTTTAAAAAGCGATAATACAAATATAGATTAATTTTTGGGTCACGTTCACATATACGAAGAAGCACACTATCACACAAATACGCTTCAACTTACGCTTATATCGTATTCCGCTACAAGTGAAAAAATGATACGTGGAAAGTTGTATGTGCGTATATAATGTAATTGTGTATAATACAGAATTGTGTAAAAATTTTTAATGATAAATCTAATAAGAAAATAACAATATGCGTTACCCGCTAAAAATACAAAGTAACATTAACATTACATAAATATTTTATAATTTCCATTTAACAATATAATTATTACGTACAACAATGTGATATATGACATTTATACTATTAAATGAAGAAATTATTAACATTTGATGCAATGTTACTTTGTATTTAGCGCATTAAAAGATTATTCAAGTGTGCATGTGTTTCTTCGATGTGTTCGCAATTATAAATAACAAAATAAAATTTTTATATTTGTTATGTAATTAACATAATAAAATATTTAAATAAATAGTAGTGATTAATGTTAAGATAATAATTTTACAAATACAGTGACTCTCCTAATAAATTTCGTAATTATTTGTATATGGTAATTAAGCGTATATATCTATAGTATCCTTTATTTCCACCGATAAATTGAACAAAAATCAATTAAAAAAAAAACAGAAGTGTATATTAAGTATTATATCCATAAATGCTCGTCTATGACGGTATTGCAATGAACTTTTGCGTTTTGCTATCAGTCTATGTTGCCGTAAATACCTACGTGTTATGAAAATCAGCTATTTGCTTCAAATTAGTGAAGATAATTTCTTTATTGTCTCGTATAGCTCGTGGAACGCTAGGATTGTCGAGAGGCTTCAAATAACGTTCAACGACAAGTTGAATATCCTTGCCGAATTCTTCCTCAGTTTCGATTAACTCTTTCACGACAGCTCTATAAAAAAAAAAAACGAATATTATGACATTATCTTACTACTAATGATATTAATTACAACATAAAATATAACAAAGTAATGTATAAAATTGTAAATATTATAATTTTTTAAGCTTGTGACATAAAGTAAAATATAATTAAAAAGAAATTAAAAAATGTATATATGCATATTATATGTAACTGAAAATTATAAAAATGTATTAAAAATTAAGAGATAAAAGCAAGTACACACTCTCGTCGATAATGAGAATCTTCTGGCCGACTCATTGATGAAGTCTCTTCGCTAAGCGCTGTTTGCATTAAAATAGATGAAGGTAACCATCCCTGCCTTCCGTCGGATGTACGAACGTATACCCTATAAAGTAACAAATCCTATTAAACATTTGTATATTGTAAAAAAATATCTACCGATTGCATTTTTCTAAAATTGTAGACATTTTAAGAAATTTTATAATGTTGCGTTTTTGATAAAAACGAACTTATTTGAAATTATCAATCATATTAATCATCTATGATAATTCGCGACTATACATTCCTAACATTTAAAAACTTATTAGAAAGTAATTTTTCAGAAATCTTCAATGTACGATTTCATTCTCAACTTTCACCGATAATGATAAGATAAATAAAATTATCTAATAATTAGATTATATCGGATTGGATGTTATCGACAGAGATGATATGGATGGACATTCTCAAAAGCGTAGGAGTCCCGCAGTTAAATTTATGCAGAATGACTAAGGCATCGTGCCATCTTGTCATCGAAGTTATCGTCCATTCATAGAACGCAAAATATGCTGGCGAACGTACTCGAATTGCTACACAAGAGCTTTATCATACAATGTTTCCATTCTCATAGTTATAGAGAAGCGTACCTATACTACCTCAATCTCATCAATTCGCTTTAACAGTAATAAAATGTGATTTGATATTTCATATCGAATTATGCCTGTTTCTATTAATGTAGATTAATTTTAATCTCGGTTCAACTTATTCTTTATTCTTTTTTAATCCTTAGAACTAAAAAAATGAAGAATTAGTTACACCAAGATTAAAATTAAACTATATTGGTAGAAACAGAAACGAGCATTCGTCTAACAACATAATTTTCTAAAATTATAAATGAGTTAATTTTTGCGAAACGTTCGTAATATTTTGTTAATATATACAATGCCTTTTTGACATTTAAAGATTCCTTTAGATAATAATAAGCTATACTATCGGTTTTACTAACACTGGCCTGCCGCCAATCACGTAGAGATATAATCGCGCGAAATATTATTACGCAGGACGTTTATAAATGCTTAATCTTCATTAGCGTCGTCATAATTCAGCAGTGTTAAATTTATTTTGGAACCGTGCAAGTCCAAATTTGCTCTCAATACAGCTGCATGACAACTGGATTGCTTTTGTATGCTCGTTTGTCGTATTTAAACAGTCACAAAATGCGCATATATGTTGCAGGAATTTGAATGACTATTCCGTTAAATGTGCTAACGATGCAATAGCAAAGAGATTTATCAAATTACTTATTATAAATATTCAATTTAGTAATATTTGAATATTCAATGTTATAGTAATTTATTATTTTTTGTATTTTGAATCAAGACTTTTTTCTATACATCTGATAAAGACTCAAACCAGGAGTCGAAAAATGTTATGTATGCAATTTTATATCAAAATTTATTTAATTATATTCTAATTTTCAAATTGTAACTTTACATGTAAGTTTGTCTAGTTGTTATTTTTATTAACAACTCTCGTATTTGCCCCTAACTTTATCCTTATTGTTATTCCCCCATTTTGTTTTTTTTTGTTGAAAGTACCTAAAAAGAGAAAGAGAGTATCTAAATTTTCAGGTACTTTTTATTTATAACTGTATCTATACCTAGATAATTGTAATAAAATATATCTATACTTATATCTAAATACTTTGCCTATACGATACCTATATATCTATATCTACAGATACCTTTCACGGTATCTGTTCCAACACTGCAATTAGCTTATTTTGATGTATTAATTCATAAATGAGATTTTGTTGAAGTTTTTGTAATACCCTTATCAAATGGTTTGTCATTATAAACTTAAAACTGTTAAAATAATCTATATGTTAACTTTTTAAAAATTTATACATATTTCTTGAATTATCATTGTTTATATGGCATACAATATTAAAGGGGTTAACAGCATTTTAATGGCATCGTTGATGACGGCAATCGTTATCTTATAGTACAGGAAGCTGACGGTCACGTATTCTTGATGAGTCAAAATTTAATATTACAGCTTTCATTATTCTATTTTGAGTCGGTTACTTTAGACTTTGTTATGAAAGTCCAGGGTAAAATATTATACATCAAAGAGCTAATTTATGCTTTTGGCGATAAAATTAGCAAATGTGGAACGTATTTTTAGTCATCACGTTATCAGATGATTTCCAAGATGAAAACATAAATAAATATCGTTGTTTCAGTCTTGATGCTTTACCTTTGAAGACTTGAATCTGAATCGACGCTCGGACTGCTTCGAGCACGCGGATCTGTATGATTTCGACGTGGTCGAATCGAAAGCTTGTGTTTGGCGGCCGAATTGTCCAAGATATCGCCAACTTCGATCTCCAGATCGGGATCAATTCTCGCTTTCCTACAACAACGCGAAGCATCCGCTGTATATAGGATCTCGTCCATTTGTGCGATGAGAAGTTTATAGAAAAGATATCTCTTGACGTTATATGTATATATGTATCTGTTAAATTATATATTTTTAATTTAAAAATGTTCTAGCGTTTTTTTTGTATTTTCATTAATATATTTGTTATTTCCAAGGATATTAATATATGTGATTTTTTGTATTTGAGATGTGATTCTCATTAGCCTTTTTTTCTCCTTAATATATTTTATATCTGTTAAATTACATATTTGTTATATATATTATATTTTTTACATATATGTAACTATATATATATATATATATATAGTTATTTATTTGTTATCGAAATTAACCGCATGACAATGAGTAAGTCTTTAACGTGCAAAGCGATTAAAGCGGATGTTTCACAAGCATTGTGGTAAGATGAGGGTGCCATTCGCGGATTAGATTTCGCAACATACTGTTTCATCTTGTTAATTTTGAGGATATAGTTGAAAGCCATGTGCTGTGCTAATTTTACAACATGTAATAGCAAAACGTAGTTTTCACGGTACAGTTCTTCCGTCGTTATATTAATTTATTCCAGAAGTCTCTCATGCGATTTATTATAATAGCAATTCCAAGATTTTTATTCTTTGATTATTCAAATAGATGCCGTTTTTCTTGCATAATTAAAATTACTATGGCAAAATTTTTATGCGACTATAAATTTAGCGCGTATTTTCCATCTGTCAAAGTATTTACAAACTTCACATCATATGTCAGACGAGACATACCGAACGCTAATAAAACCACCGTACAGTATAAAAATAGAACACCGCAGGCGGGTGTGCAAGCAGAAACCCGCAGCGTGTCTTAATACTCGCGGGGCAATGATCCTCGTCTTACGGTTCGACATCCAGATTAGCTTGACCAAAGCTCCCCGGTTTTCTTACGATCACACGGAGAAGCCATGGTGTTGAGCGATGAATATGAAAGTACGTAATTGCTACCACGGTTACACGTTCAAACAGTAGCTGCCTTCAAGATCCGATATTATCCGCGCTTGTTTTCGCGAGAAAGACCAGTGTCAGCGTTAATAGACGAGATGCACCTGTTGGTCATAAATGCACTCGTCCAATTTGATCTCAGTTATCACTTCCGCATATACATCGAGATCTCGGGTATCGGTGATAAACAACCTGGACAATCGTTATCGCAAGTATGTAGACGTGCGCAGCGTGAGACGCGTGTATGAACGATGAGTCGTGCGAACTATCTTTAGATCGCGTGGTGAATTTTATCTACCACGAAACAGTTGCCACCCACGTGTACGCGCACAAAGCGAAAAGCAGCGCGATGACAATATCCATCGAGAAGCTATCTTCATTTTTCTCTTTTTAAATTGTATCCTTGAAATAAAAATTACTTACTTTGCCGAATCGTCATGATCGACGGCCTCGACGATGTCGCCAACGTTCACGGTGAATCCATCTGTGTCTGCTATATAGTCCTTTACAATGACATAATTTTCCGAAGATCCCTGTAACAAAAATATGACGACACAAATAGAATAAAAAAACTGTATCAGACTTTTTTTTTTCAAGTGCACCTTGAAATAAAAATAGAAATGATGCGTCTTTTTTTTAAATTGTAAAACGTAATTGAATTATAAAGCTATGATTTTGATCGAAGAATAGAGATAGGTTTTTTGGAACCATTCAACCATTGAGAGAAATTAACAAGACATCTCAAAAATTTTTTTTATCACGAAACTAGATCTTTCTTGATTAAGTATTATATAATTTATAGTTAATGTAAAATATTAAATATTAAATATAGTTTATTAGCTTCAATGGAAAATCCAAAATGTTCATCACATAGCTCAGTCTTTATCTTCCTAATACTTTACCCGCTCGAAGCTGCTCCATTGCCGAGCATCGTTCAATTTCTTCAAACTTGGCGTGTTCTGTCTGCTGACTGAATAAAAAGCAGCTGATTGTTCAGATTTTGATAGAGTTGCAGTACCATTATTTTCTTGTTTATTGGAATTATCATTGGCAGAGCCATTCAGGCTGCTTGCAATCGATGTCGTGCCGGTGAAAGTGGTGGACATCATCTCGCCACCGTCAATATCCACCTCTTTTGCTACAGGGCAACAATACATGGAGAATCGATGAGCGGTTGGACGATTCAGCCTGAGCGCCGAAAATACGTGCAACGGTTCGAAATGATGTATACCATCTTCATCAAGAACAGTATAGGCGACTTCACCGGTTAACACCGATCTGGAAGCTTCTCTAGGTACGACTGCTTGCATACCCTGTTTCAAAATCATAAAAATAGCTGACCGCTTATGACTTCTTTTCAATAAGAATTCTTCCATTGCCAGGCTGTTGTCAGCGCGTAACAACGCAGTTGGAACGTCGGCTGAGGATACTAACGGAGTCTCTTCAGGTACTATCATCAGTGCGGCACTTTCTCTTACAAGAGTTCGTAATCGCGGATCCGTTTTAGCCAGTTCCGGATCGCTGCATAGCTGTCCAAGAGCATTCATAAAAGGTGGTCGTTCCTCCGCGAGTTTCCTCATGATTGCTAGCCTCTTCAATACGTCCATGGTTACCCGGTCGTTTGCCAGAGCCTGGGTAGATTTCTCGTCGTTGATCACCGACAACAAGCTGTTCGCTGTATCAGACATCCCCAGAGCTCGTGCTAAACCTACAGCTTGAAGCAGCATCTCGCGAACGTCCGGCCCTTCGGTATTCAATAGCTCCGTTACGCGAATTTTGCTAGATTCTCGGACCGCCTGAACGATCGCCTTATGAACAGTTTCCGCAGCTTCCTTCTCAGTCGCCACGTCCGCCACGTGTCGCGACACGTTTTCCAAAACAAGTGACACTAGCTCCGGATCGTTCTTCGAGATAGTTCGAAAGGCCGGTCCAATTAAATTCGTACTGTGTTCCTCTTCAAGAACCATCGATAGTTTGTCGAGTACAGCATCTCTCCGCAACGGTTGGCCTGAATTCACGGTCGATTTGAGAATATTCACTTTATTTTTTTTAACGTTTAACAATTCCGATAGTACACTTTGGCAAAGATAACTGCGATTTTGCGAAATTAAGAGAATTTTTAGAATTTCATTCACTGATTGATCGATATTTTGATCGTTTTGACGCAACAACATGTTAAACGATTCACCAATGGAAGAAAAGATGAAATCTTGAGAGTTGCAATTATTTAATGTTATTTGTTGATCATCCGATATAATCAGGGCAGCTGCTGCAATCGCTGCTCTTATTATACTCTGCAGTGACTCGACGTTATTCTCATCGTTTATTCTTTCTTCTATTTCTTCAGTTTCAATAATGGGCGATCGATTACCATTTGTTAACGTTATTGCATTTGCAGTGTCCGAATTTTGTTGTTGTTGTTGCTGCTGCAGGACAATATTTTTCGCTAATTGCGCAATTGTCGACATGACTTGCGCCAATTTCACAGCCGTACCACCTTGCAGACCTAACTTTGTTATCACGGCGAGGGCTTGCTCTAAAGCCATCGCCTTCGGATCCACATTCACGTCCACCGTCGGTAAATTCGTCGCAACTTTTCGCCCCACAGATAATCCCGCCTCGGATAGCTCGTGTAACATTTTAGCATCTATGCTGGTCTCACCACGATGGCGAAAACGTGGATTGTAGTGCAGATGCTGCGGCCGCAGCAGTCGCAGCTCTTCAGGAGTAACCTCGAACCCCTGTACAGAGAACTCCAGCTCACCCTCAGGCGTATCAATGAGATCCGGGGCGACGAAACAAGGCCCTTCTTCCGTCTGCACGATTTGACCCGGTACGAAAGTCACACCCATTTCGCCTGCTTCCACCACGCGACCAGGTACAAATCTGGGCCCATCTGGCGTGTCCACGACTTGTCCCGGTACAAATCTAGATCCCTCTTCCTCAGTGTAGATTACCTGACCGGGAATAAACGTCGGCCCTACTTTGGTATCGACGATCTGACCTGGAACGAAACGTGGTCCATCCGGCATATCTATCGTTTGACCGGGCACAAACTTGGGACCGGTTCGGGTCTCCACTATCTGGCCAGGTACAAATTTCGGTCCACTGCTAGTATCAATTACTTGACCAGGCACGAACTCCTCGCCCTTTTCTGTTGTAACTATCTGACCTGGTAAGAAGCCATCCTCTGTCATGACACCCGGTACAAAACGTGGTCCATCCTTGTCACCGGTGACCAATTGCCCGGGCACAATTTTTCTGCCTTCCGGCAGATTTCTCGCGTTCTCCGGGAAGAACTCGATACCTTTCTCTGTCTGTACCATGTGACCAAAAACCTCACGCTGCTGGAAAGTTGATACTGCACTCGCAGTCTTTGAATCCATAGGTATACCGACAGGACCGGCGTCTTGGAAAATTACTTCATCAAACTTGCTCGCTGCGATAAATTCGAAGCCTTTCTCGGTGATAATAGTTCGTCCTGGACAAAACACCACACCTTCTGGAGTCTTTAACACCTGCCCCTCAACAAATTTCTGGCCTTTCGGAGTATCCAGCGTCATCCCCGATACGAATGTTAAAATATCTTTCGTTTCTCTGGCAACACCAGGGACAAAATGTTTCTCGCCCGATTTCGTAGTCACGTATTGACCTGGAACAAATTTAGGACCTTCGGCTGTTAACAATGTCTGTCCAGGAATAAACTTGGATTCGTTGTTCGGTGATTCGACGCATTGGCCAGGAACAAATTCGTATCTTCCATTAATCTGCACATTTTGTCCTGGCACAAAAACTGACTCGCCACCATAATCCGTAACGGTTTGGCCTGCCATAAAACGTACGCCATCCGAAGTAATCACGGTTTGACCAGCGACGAAAGTATCATTTGCTACTATTTGACCAGCTACAAATTTTGGACCCTCCTCCGTCAGAACGGTCTGACCTTCAACAAACTTACTTCCCTCGCTTGTGTGGAATGTCTGGCCTTGCACGAAACGCTCGCCTTGTTCTGTCGTTAAGCTCTGCCCTGCGACAAACACTGACGTCCTCGCTCCCTCTGACTCATTCACAGTCACGATCTGTCCAGGAACCAAAAGAGGACCATCAGGCGTATTAAGAGTTAATCCAGGAATAAAGGTGGGACCTTGAGGCGTCTGCAAGGTTTGACCAGGCACGAAAATAGTGCCGGAAGGTGTATGCACCGTTTGACCAGAGACAAATCTTTCCGCCGATTTGATATCCAGTTTGAGACCCTTAACATTATGCATCGTGAGCTTTTTGCCAGTGGGCAGATTTTGCACTAGTTCGGGTATTTCTTCTATCTTAGGCAGACATTCTAACGCTTGTTCTCCAGCCTGTAAAAGCTTTTCCGTTACATTCGCGCTCCCTTCAAGATCATCCTGTGGAATATTTTGAATTGCACTTTGCAACGTAATGTCCGGTTTTGCGATTAAAGGTGTCAGCGGTTTTACGATTGCTATGGCTTCCAAACCACCTACAAACTCAGGTATAGGACTGGTGTATAAGATTGGTTCTTGATCTATAATTTCTGGCTTAGCCATTATGGGTATTGGTATTTTTTCGATCATCGGAACACCAGATGATTTCTTCGAGTTATTCTGTAGAGAGTTCCAGTCTAATATGTTGGAAACGGATTCCGTTGCATCTTTGAAGGCACTCGATACATTCACGACATCAAAAGACGTCAGTCTCGCTTGTTCTATATTCACGTGCTTCCAGTTTTCTGCCATTTCTTCCTTAATCTCTTCTTTGATGCTTCGCAATTTAAGCTGCTTGGTACGTTGGAGTTCTTCCTCGTCAGCTGCTCTCTCCTTCTCCTCAAAGAATTTCTTTGCATAATTCAGTACAGTCTGTTTCTTCCTTTTTCGTTTTCTAGCTTCCATTTCCAACTTTTCTCGTTCCTTCAGCACCTCTTCTCGTGGTCCCATGCCGTCATAAAGATTTTCGAAATCCTCTAAGTTTTTAAAATCCACAGACACGTTTTTTCCTTGCTTCAGTCTTAACAAAACAGTATCACAATCTCTCGAGAGCATTACATCTTTGACGTCTCCGTCCCTAACGGCAGCTTCCAACTTCGCCGGAAACACAAGGCTGCATCTTCGCTCCTCTACCGTGTACACGAACTTCTCTGCTTCTTCAATCGGGGTTTGCTTCATTTTTAGAAGCTCTCTCAGTGCACGTTGTTGCTCACTCTCTCCCTCCAAAATTGGGAAGACGTAGCGATAGTCCTTGAGCATCACATGCTTCTTCTTTTCGCCAACAATCAAACCGGCAGTGTAATGATGCGGGCCGAGACCTGACGCGTTCGTGATTTTACATTTTGACTTGTCGTGAGGATACGCGCCCAATAGCACCGGAATGTAATGATGAGTCGGCAAGCCGTAGGATTTGCCAGTGATGCGGCAGAATCGTTTCGCGTCTGCTGGACTTATAGGTGGTAAAAGCGGAAAGTAATTTGGTCTAGGGAGACCCCGACTTTTACCTGTTATCCTGCAGAAGGACATTGTCTTCTTCTGAGATAATTATTCGATATTCAAATTCATGTTATGTAAAAATATATAATGGAGTAGTCTTGATCATATATTATTCTTCTTAATCGTGCCCTTTTACGGTATCTTGAGATTATTAATAGTATGCTCTGCCATTTTAAAAACGATTAGACTGAAAGATTATATGTCAAGCTTTCGAGATTTTGAATGGTTTAGATTTATCTCGAACTTGAACTTGCGACGTACAAATCGTGCGAATCGTTGGTTTTAATAGCGCGCTATAGAAACTCGTGTTCTAACCGGAACAAAGGTCGATCTATATACCGCTTCTTTCTTCAGAAATTAATGTCCAATTACATTTACACCCACACGTCAACGAAACCGTTTTACCAGTGATGTAGACAAATGGACATCAGCTCGAAACTTGGCATCCACACGATGGGAATCACGACTTTGCGCCCTCGATCATTTTCACGCATCACCGTCTCGCCTCCGCCGCAATATCGTCTGTTGAATTTCAATCTTTTTCGATTCATCTACACATGTCTAGATTCTAAGATGCAACTTCTTATGATTTTTTTCCTCTTTTTGAATAAAACATGTAATTTAGATCAAAGTGTATATCACTTATCGATACTACTCGATATAATCTTTATAATTGATCCAAAGTTAAAAAGTTAAACATCCGTTTTAAATTTCCATTTAAAAAGAAATTTGTTTTACTATTTGAGTTTACATCTGCTCAATATTATGTATTCTCTCTTTTCTTAGAACAGGCATTTAACCATTTGACATTTTACTTTTGATTGCTTAATGCCTCGCACGCATCACCTGTAAACTGACGTAATATTGACGGTTTCATGATTTGGTCTTCATATTTATAATTCTATAAAAAAAACAATTTCTATAGCATTACATGTCACGAATCGCATTTCGATTTTTCTATTAGTCCACTGATTAATTCCGCATATATGCACTTTTATGCAGATAATTTAATAATAGTTTTTTAAAAATAATTTAGGAAATGCACAAATTTAAAAATAAAGCTATTAACAATAATTAATTTTCAATATTTGCACAGAAATTTGTTTAATTCCTTGACAATTTCAATCTTGTAAAGAGCAAAATTTCTTTCCAAAATATTAAATATATTTTTCTCTAAACACTGATTTCTTGTTTCATTGTTAGAAGTAAAAAATTATATTGCTCCTTATCGTTTCTTCCTACATGAAAATATTTATTCTTGTTTATTATATGTATGTGATATCATTCATTTTTCGTTCTAGTGTAATCGGATGCATGCGTTCTCCAATATTTCCATACAATTTTTGTTGATTTTATAGCTCGTATAGATCCTCGTTCATGCCGATCACTAAGCAAAACATCTTCACTTTCTTTACACCGGTCACATCGTTCGGCTTTTCGCGAGATACGGTCCTTCCGAAAGGTGTATATCGGCGATACGCGGCGAAAGCGAGACTACTCTCTGAGTACGAAGTGGCTAAGAGCCGTTTGCACAGCGAGTCTCTCTCTCAGCTCCCACAACCAGAAATAGCCTACCCTTCTTACACTTCTCCAATACATCTTTAGAACGGAGTACACGGACCCGGATCTCCGTGAAGTCGTGCATAGCCCACACCGGATTTTCGGCGCAAGGGAGTTTGCACGTGGAAGTTTTTCGCGTCCTGAAAGCCACGGATTTGATAACCACAGATTCGGTTCTGGAACTGCATAGTATATAATTTGAATAGAATATATTTTATCAGAATTACGTGATTCTGGTTATATACAATAATTATACTGCATTATTGATTATTCAAAGAATATTTTTTAATATTTTTCTCATGTAATTTAAAACTTCCTATGTTTTCGTTATGAATTTAATGGTGTGAATTTTTATAATTGCTCGATAATTTTCTTGATGATAATGACCAAGTGGAGTTCCGTTTTAAACAGTAGTGGGCGCAAATCCCAGCAATAAATCGCAAAATTCATGACACAATGTTGATTTAAAAAGAGCAAGAAGTAGTTTGCTTTGCATGGTTAAGCCCCTCGTAAACAAATACGTGGACGCTTTGTTGGCAATGTCAAGCGGAATAGGTGTGAGAAGTAAAGCTTTACAATGAAAAACGATGAGAATGAGCGATGGCATTTAAACTTAAACGTTTATTCGGTGCCAGTCCGTTGGCAGACGAAGGAAAAATCACGCGCGAGCATCCAGAACATACTTGCATATTTTTATGGTCGAGTGAGCAGTTTTCCTAGCGTGACTTAATGGACAAACCAAAGCTACTTTAACGTTTTGTTCCGCAGTCATTCGCGGTGATTTACGGCAACTATAAGCTTTCTCAGGGAAGAAGTTGAGCGAACCGTGATAAACGATACAAGGTCAATACTGATTTATAATTATAAGAGCATTCCGATTCATATATTATTTTATCATAATAAATGAGCGCATTAATCTTTAGTGAAACGTTAAATTTAAAATTCCAAAGAAATAAAATTATTTATCTGCACAAAATTTAAATAAATACAACAATTGTTACTGATTTCTATCGACAATATTAAAATAAGAAATTAATAACAGAAATTAAATGTCGATTACAGAATTTGACCAAGTAATTAATTAATTATAAAAGTTACATTAATCATGTAAAGTCTTTTATATTTTCAAGTATAATACTTTTTCTTGAAATCAAAATTTCGGAAGATCTCTTTGGATGATGACGAGGCGCCAGACGTGTGCATATCGTAGGCAGAATTTGTGATCGCTCGTATAATTCACTGACGACCGATAAACGCATCTGGCTGTTGTTAAAATTGCACGATGCGATCAAAAATAAACCGGGAATAAAAACCAACCAATGCCGGGCAAGTACCTCGCGTGTAAACGTAAACTGTGTGAAGAGATTTCTCTTTGTCTCCAGTTTGCCTTACTCTCCATTTTCAGAAATGTCTTATCAGTGTTAAGATGATAGAGCGAAATATGTGCTAAGATATTAATGCTAATAATTATAATAAATATTACTAAAAGCTTGATAGAATAAGAAGTATAAAAAAAACAAATAATGAATTACAATAAATTATATTTTTACCTCATGTAATCAGTAATCAATATATAACGTGATAATAATTTTATATATATTACAACATCAAGAAGTTGCACGATTAACTAAGTTAAGCCTAATAGGGTTGGGCACGTATTCCGGGAGCAACATCGCAAGAATGAAGCGCTTCGAGAAACTTGAAACGCGCCGATATAATGCATCCCTTGTATGCATCGCGCGAAAGAGAACGATCTTAAAAAGATTGCCGAGCAAAATGATGGGTAAAAAGGGAAAGAAACAACACGCGAAGAAAGACATGCACGCGTATCACGGGAGGGCTCGAAATGGCAGTGTGTAGACCACAGCTTTTGGCAGCGAATCAGGTATTCTATCTACTTCTGTCATGTACCCGCCTGGTCTTCTCTCAATCACAATGATTCCCAGATTTTTTCTATGAACTGACGCAATGTGTCAAAAAAGATATATGCTGCTGTTGTCAAGAACATGTCAACTAAATGAGACTTACATAGTCGAAAAATTCTATAAGTATATATTTATATACTACATATTGTATTACCTCTCTTTATAATTTGATAAAGTATATGTTTCAAAATCTGTCTGCATAAAATATATTCGCTAATATAATACAGATTATAAAACTTTTTACATACATCTTCATTTCCAGTATACATAGCATGAAAATATACATTCAATGCATATATCAATAGCAATAATAACGGAGCATTAACATAGAGACATAATTGTCTTTGTTTCTAGACAATTATTTAAAGATTTGTATATTTGCGTGTTTAAAAATCGAGGTATCATAGACATAGTATGAAATATGGATAGACGGAGTACTGCCTCATTTACTTATTTCTATTCTATGTCTATGAATAAATGTCGTTTGTTTCAGTTTCAAATATATCGAACACATAACATATTACATAAAACATTTTCTACTATTTGTAACTAAGGCTGTGTTCTAAAATTCATACTACCAGTACTACAAATCTATAGAGCACGTAACGTAAACTATAAATTTTTACAGCTGACACTGAATTTTGGAAATATCGATGTTTTTCTTGTTTTATATGAATTAATCTGATCATTTGTTATTTCTTTAAACTATACTTATTATTTATAATTTTTATTTCTTTCTCTTCATAAATAAAAAAATATAGCAGCTATTTTAATTTAAACATAAAAAATAAAGTACATTTAAAAAAAATGAAAGCTTTTTCATGATCGATATTATACTCACTCTGCTTGTTAAATGTACGACTTCTTCGGTTACCCCTCGTTGAATTGTCGTTCCACCAATGATGGTATGAGATAACTCTAATGAAAATTCTGCACAAACCATACAATAAATACTATATATATATATATATATATATATAT